GTAGCCAGTGCCCTTAGTCGCTGAGCCATCTCTCCAGTCTGTATTGCAGATTTTTTTAAGGCACGCATTTTCATACATGGTTGAAGGGACTTAAGTGATGTTCTGATTAGTTTTTCTCTTCCTGGGTAACATTATTACTCTGGGTTTATTGTCTTATGGGAAAGATAAACAAAAGTCAAGTAGTCTCCCAAACCTTAGTCTCTTCATTGAAGGGAACTGTGACCTGGGTACAAATTCAGCAGATCTATCATTCCTCCAACATATATTTATTTTCTACTTTCTATGTGCCTGGCCCAGAGATAGAAAGTGGTAATGCCACAGAAAACAAGACAGACAAGTCGTGTAGCTGAGCTTCTAGCGCTAAGAGCAGGAGTTCCCATTCCACTCTTAAGAAAAGAACAGCTTTGCCAGACAAGAGAATAAAGAAGTAGACAAGATTAAGGAGGTGGGCAGAGGCAGGGCCTCAAGAGTTCAGCTGCAGATGGATGCATCAGAGGTCCTGTAAATCAACAAAATTGGAGGAATGTTTGCCAGAGCGAACATTTAGGGAAATGTTCTCTGCTTCCTGGATTACATCCTAGGAAACAGATTCAAACGGGTTATGGGTGCACAGTGAGTCTGCACAGATGCAGTCAACCATCTACCTAACTCCTTGCCGTCAACCTTCAAGAGCATCAGAATGGATTTCAAGCCCTCACGTGTGGAAGAATGCATGGGAGAGAGTGGCTGGATGCTTAAAGATAAGAGACCTGGGATTGGAGAAATGGCTTAGCAGTTAAAGAGCACTAGCTGCTCTTGCAGAAGACCCAGGTTTGAATCCCAACATCCACATGGTGGCTAACAACTGTCTGTAACTCCAGTTCCAGGGGATCCAGCACCCTCTTCTGACCTCCGTGGCATTTGCACAACACGGGTGCACTCACATACACATAGGCAATACACTCATACACATAAAATAAAAATAATAAAATATTTTTTAAAAAAGAGAGGAGACAGCCAGGCGTGGTGGCGCACACCTTTAATCCCAGGCAGAGGCAGGTGGATCTCTGTGAGTTCAAGGTTAGCCTGGTCTATCCCGTCTCAAAAATACCAAAAATAGAGGGCTGGAGAGATGGGTCAGTGGTTAAGAGCACTGACTGATCTTGCAGAGGACCCGGGTTCAACTCCCAGCACCCATATGATGGCTACAAACCGTCCTTAACTCCATTTCCAAGGGAATCCAACACCCTCTTCTGACCTCCGTGGCATTTGCACAACACGGGTGCACTCACATGTAGGTAATACACTCATACACATAAAATAAAAATAATAAAATATTTTTTAAATACCAAAAATAAATAAATAAGAGAAGAGACAGGTATGGGAATGTAACTCAGTTTATAGACTGCTTGCCTGGTATGCACAAGGCCCTAGGTTGGATTTTCAGCATCACATAAACCAGGTATGGTAGTGAGGTCATCCTTGGCTACATAGTAAGCTCAGTGCTAACCTGGGCTACAATAGACCCTGTCTAAAAAAATTTTTTTAATTAAAAAATATACAAGAGGCTTCTCTTTGCAGTGAACAGTGGTGAATGCAGAGGCTCATGGCTGCATAAAGTACTAAGAATGAGTGAGCACTCGGCCATGGTTTACAACATATGTTTATCATTCCCTCTAGGGCTAGGAAATGTTGCAGAAGAGGGAACAGAAAGAATATAAGAGCCAGAAGGCAGGGAGAAGGCACAGCCATTGCAATCACGAACTCACAGCAGCTTGGGGTGCCTGTCCTGGGTTTGTGCAAGAACAGGCTCATCAATAGTCAAGTATGGATAGAGGAGGGGCTCCTGCCCCTCACTGCTGAGCTATCTGCTACTGACAGATTCAGGGAGAGGGAGAGTCACTGCTTTCAGCTGTATACCCACTGCTGACCCCACCAGGCTTCAATGGAGAGTTCCAAACCAGTGATCACACAAATGGCCCTGATCTGAACATTCTTCTGGCATCCTGGGGCACCTGTATACACATGTGCACATACACACATGTGCACATACTCCCATACACACACAGAGACACACACTCAGACACATACACATAGATAAATAATAATAAATAATTTTAAATAGTTTGTTTTCTTCTTTCTTCTTTGACCCACAAGTGCCTAATCCTCTTCATGTTTTTCATTCTGTTACCCAAAAAGAAAATCTGTTTTAGCCATATAATCCTCCATGCCCCTCCTTAGCCAGGGCTTTTTTAATTTTTTTTTAATATGCATGAGTCATGAATATTAAATGCCCACAGAGATCAGAAGAGGGCACTGGATCCCCTGGAACTGGAGTGTCAGTTTTTAACTGCCATGTGGGTGCTGGGAACTGAGCAGCCAGTGCTCTTAACTGCTGAGCCATCTCTCCAGCCCTACCCAGGGTTTTTTGTATCAGGATACCTCCAGATCTCTTACCAATCTATGAACTATCAAGTTGTGACTGACAGGGAGAAAAAGAGGAGGTAGAAGTCAGGAATGACCTGGAAACTCTCCCTTCAGCAGGGACTAGGGGTGGGGCAGCTTTGCTTGGAGAGGGCTGTAGGAATGCCTGGCATAGACTGGCCTGGTCAGAAGTAAGTTAACTCAGAAATTAAAAGAGCAAGAGGCAGACTGGTGAGATAGCTCAGCAGGTAAAGGCACTTGCCACCAGGTCTGACATCCTGAGTTTGATCCCTAGAACTCACTTAGTAGAAGGAGAGAACTGACTCCTCCAGGTTGTCCTCTGACCTCCACATGAGGACTAGGCACACACATGCACATGCACACACACACACACACACACACACACACACACCACTAATTAATATTTTTAAAGCAAGAGTTATATACAAAGGCCTTGTATGTACTAGAACCAAGTTTCCATTAAGTCATTCTACAAACAACAATGACCCACTCATAAAAAGATTTCAGTCACATCTAACAAGCTGGCCATATCAAACAGGAATTTACACAGGGAGAGAGCACAGAAGCAGACAGGACAAGGGCATATGTGCAACCAACAATCCAAGTTCCTGTCACAGTAATGCTCTCGCTTCACTGAACCTCCTTGGGTAGGCCACCTTAACCCTCTGGCCATAGTCCTCTGTCTTTGTAGGTCACGCAATATCAGGGACAGTGAAGACTGGTGTGCTGGATGGCTTTAGTTGTCAACTTGACACACCTGAGTAGAGGGAGCCTCAATTGAGGAATTTCCTCTATTGGACAGGCCTGTGGCCATGACTATGGGGCATTTTCTTGATCATTGAGTGATGTGGAAGAGCTCAGCCCACTGTGGATGGTGCCACCCCTAGGCAGGTTGTCCTGTATTGTATAAGAAAGACTGAGCGTGGGCCAGAGGAACAAGCCAGTAAGCATCATTCCTCCATGGCCTGGGCTCCGAGTTCCTTTCCTGAGTTCCTGCCTTGGCTTCCTCTGATGGACTGTGCTTCTAAGCTAAATAAACCCTTTCCTCCCCAAATTGTTTTGCTCAGCGTTTTCATCACAGCAGTTGAAGGCAAACTAGAACAACTGGGTAGAACACTCTTTTGTTTCTTCCCCTTAGGCTGAATAAACCGATTTTCAAGCCTGAGGTGTCGGAATCTGTATGCTTATTGATGAAGGAGCAGTCTCCCAGAAATCTTACCTCAGTGCACACTCCCTCCACAGGGACCACAGGGCTGCGTTTCTTCCATCTTGTCGGAACACTGTAAATATAGCTCACAGCTCCCATAGTGCCCTGCTGCTCATCTCTAGCCTTCGTGTCATCTGTAACCTGAGTGACTTCCGGCATTCACCTCAACCCATCATGCTCTGCTCTCGGGCTGGTGGTCCACCATGAGCTACACTGCATGCATTTGAGAGAAATATGGCTGCTGACAAAATGGTCAGTCTTTCTGATGCTGTTTCTAATAACTGTCAGAATCCTTGAATTTTCCAACATATTCAAATGACCTGCCATAGTGTTGGGATTTTTAAATTTTGGTAAGTGAACATACAAAGTGATGAGTTCACTGAGCGTGGTGGTGCACACCTTTAATCCTACCACTGAGGAGGCCGAAGCAGACGTATCTCTGTGAGTTCAAGTCCAGTCTGGTCTACATAGGGAGTTCCAGGTCAGCTGGGGCTGCAGGGAGACCCTGTCTCAAAAAGACCAAAACAAAAAAGTAATGGGTTCTATCATGGCATTTTCGTCCATATATGTCTTCGTAGTTTGTGTTCAGTCATCCCCTCCACCCTGGCCCTTCACTGTCCCCCCATGGACTCTCCCTCGCTGGTTCCGTTCCTCCCCTCAAGCAGCCCATTCTGTTACCCTCTCTTTTCTCTCCTTCCCTCTCCTTTAGTACTTTTGCTTAAAGGATCCAAATGCTGATAAAACCCGTACAGAAAATTTTAAACTATCCGGTTTGGGGCCCAGATCAATTCCATGCAGTATCGTGGAAAAACTAAATTAAATTTTGTTTGTTTTATTTTGGGTTTGTTTTTTTTTTTTTTATTAGTTCTTTGAGAATTTCATACAATGTATTTGGGTCCTATTTAACCCCTTTTCACCCAACTCCTCCGGTCCACCCCCATCTTTCCTACCCCTCCAAATTTTGTACTCACAAATTGGACTCGTGGTTTTTTGTTTTGACTCAATTTGGTTTTTTGAGACAGGGCCTCACTATGCAGCCCTGGCTGTCCCTAAACTCAAGATTTTTTTGCATGAGGTCTAGGATAACAAGCATGTCCAACCTTGCCTAGCTAGCTATGACTTTCTGAATGTTGTGACCCGTTGCATTCCTTATCACAAAGTAAACAGAACACTCCAGGCCCCGCCCCCAGCCAAAGCCTTCTATTGCACAGAGACCCAACTGAGGATGTTATTTTCCTCTCCTTCGTGGAGACTATGACATTTCCACCGTAGCGATGACTACCAGAGAGAACAGTTTCTCACACATTTGCATGACTGATTGGAAGCCGGGAGTCTCCCCCGCCTCTGGAAAAAGGAGCTCTGCATCTTTAAGGCTCAGCGGGGCTGTGTGCTGGGGACGCAGGCTGGGCCGGCTCTGCCGCAGCGACTCATCCTACCACAGGGTCCAGCTAGACAAGGTGGAGCATGGGAAAAAAATGGAACTGTCCCAGCTCCTCAATGAGATCAGGGCAAACTATGAAAAGCTCCTCACCAGAAATCAGATAGAGACCGTGCTGTCAACAAGGATCCAGGTAATGATTTCATTCAGCGAGGCACCTTCAGGATAAGGAGACAGTCCATGTCTACCCAATTCCTGTCCCCGCCTCTCTGAGGTACAGTATTTCCTTTTCAAAGCAGCATATACTGGGGAGGCGATGTAGGTTTTTCTGCACTGGGACTGGGGTGACAGGGACAAAGAGTGTGTTTGTGCTGTTAAATTACCATTCAATAAATATTGATTGATGCATTGGGGTTTCAGGTAAATGATGAGGTGACCATCATAAATAAAACATGGGGTCAACAAACAATAAAATGGTGCGCTCCAACCTCTTTAGGCATTCCTCAGCAAGGAAGCATTTCGAATATTCTTCAAGGATATTGTGGAGTTATAGATGTGATTGAGACGGCGTCTGTGAAATGAAGGCTTTATAGTGAGGTTATTAGTGCACACACTGCACACGAAAGCAAGGGAACTATTTCTAAAAAGCTTCTGTCATCTTTTTAGTGAGTTCAGCTTTGTACTAGATCATTATAAATAGAAATCCCCTCAGTGTGTGAACATGGCTTTCAGAACCAAGAGTATACATTTTGACAATCAAAATTTCCCAATTTAGTAACGACTCTATACTTTAAAGGTACATGTTTTTGCTTTTATGCTATGACATGTTTACTTCTAACACAATCCTTGCAAAGTTTAAGTATCGAAAAATAAAGAGCCAACTTAGTTCAACACTTAACCCTCATTCCATATACTTAGTTTTAAATGACACTCTTCTTTAATAATTAAGGCCTCAAGCCTAAATAAGTTTAAAAGCAAATAATTTAGATAAAAAATTTCAGAAATTTAGAGTTTTTTTAAATTAGCTTATCTATTATATTTGATTATTCAAATTCTATTCCCAGCACCCAGAGACAGCAAAAAGTTTACCTGGGAACATCACAAGAAAGGAAAAAACATTGCTAGGAAACCGCAGGCCTTCCTTCCACTAGCAACTCATTCCAGTAACATTATAGATTTTGTTTCCAGGCAAATGATTGGACCTCTAGATTAAAGAAGTCCCTGGGACATTGATTTTGACGTTGGAGACATTCACTCACATTTTTTATAGGAGAAAAAGAATCAGTAGATGGAAACTTTGGGGAAATTATAAGCCAAACGGATATTTTGCAAAGTAGAAATGTAAGTTTAATTTACAAGTCCCAATGCGGAAATGAGTGATGCAAATAAAAATGCAAAACTGCAGTAAGTTCTGTTTACATTTTGTAATAAAACTTGAGAGAAACGTTTTCCCAAGTAATTCAGAAAGTCCATTTATTTTGTATTCACAACATATCGCAAAGCCCTGGGTTCAAGCCCCTGCACCAAAAATAAAAATAGACATAAAGTTGCTTTAGTTACTAATTACAATATTATAAGTTACCCCAAAACTCAGTGAACTAAAATAACTGTTGTATTCTGCCTGGTGGTTCTGTGGGGTAAGGCACCCACTGCTGCTGTCCTGCTGGCTGGGCTGCAGTCATCACAGACCTTATCGACTGGAAGACTCAGGGTGGCTGGTTCACATGGTTGGCATCTTCGTAGGGAATTGCCAGAAGGCTGGCTCATACCTGAGCCTGTTTCCCTCTCCTTTTGCCTCTGGGTCCCTCTCCATCTGCCTCTGGATCCCTCCCCATCTGGCCTCCCTATATGACCTCTAACATGAGGACTGCCAGGGCTCCCAAAAGTATGACGTGGAGGCTGGCAGGCTTTTTAAGGCTTAGCCTAGAATTGGCACAGCATCTCCTCTGCAACAGTCTACTTATTACAGTGAGACACAGGTCACCCTGACTCAACCCTGACATGGGGACCACACAAAAAAGTTGGGGAGATGTGGTCACTGGGGGTCCTTTTAGGAATGTAGTTACCATCCAACTTAGTTGCCAGTTCCCCACTGCAAATCCAGAAGACCAGCAGCACCATTTTATTATGTTTTCAAATTTTATATTCTGTTCTCAAGATTCTTTTTGCTCTGTGTTGTTGTTGCTCTGGCAGGAGTTGTTTGCTGCTTGACTTTTCCAAAGCTCTCTCTAAGAACAAGGGATCAGCTGGCCAAATAACGCAAATGAATTTTTCTCTAGTATTCTTTTTCCATTTTTCATGTGTGTACGTGTTGTATGCTTGTATGTGTGTGTGTGTGTGTATGCATGTTTGCATGTGCATGGGTGAACACGGGGGGGTGCACCTGCACATTGGTACCCATGGGCATAGGGGCCCAAGGTATCTTGGCAACCATCCTTCATAGCTTGTCCACTTTATTCTTTGAAGCAGGGTCTCACAATCAAACCCAAAGCTCACTGATACGGCTGGTCTTGATAGCTGCTTGCTCTAGGGATCCCTTGTCTTCACATTTGGAGGATGGAATTACGGCCAGCCTCCATGCCCACCCAACATTTACATGGGTTCTGGGGATCAGAACTCCAGTCCTCACACCTGCTTGATAAGCACTTACCCTCTGAGCCACCCCTCCAGCCCTCTCCTGTAATATCCTGGCCTAAACGTTATTCACAGATTTTTATGGACTCTGCTTCCCTTAAAATCTATTACACAATCAATTTTTCAAATATAAAGCAACATAAAAAGTTGTCATTTTCATGTCAACGCAATGTGTTGCTCCTAATTTCAAGTGTTTAGAATGCTGTTAACAGATGTTTTAATTCCATCAGCATAAAATTTAAAGCAAAATAGAAAATATCCCACTTTTTTTCAGTGATGATGCTGGAACCCAGAGACTTGTGCATGCTAGGCAAGCATTAAACCATTCGGATATAGCCCCCCACCCTCCCCCACTTATTTAATATAATAACATTTAGAAAATAATGTCTTTAATTTATATTTTAATGTATATGAGTGTTTTACCTGCATGTATGTAAGTGTGCCATGTACATGTAACACCATCGGAGATCAGAAGAGGGCATCAGATGAATTGGAGTTATGGACAGTTGTTAGCTACCATATGGGTGCTGGGAACAGAACCTGGATCCTCTGCAAGGGCAGGCAGTGCTCTTAACCACTGAACCATCTCTCCAGTCCCCTAGAAAACAATCTTTTAAGATGTCATTTTTGGCCAGGTGTCATAGCCCATGCCTTTAGTCTCAACACTCAGGAAGCAAAGGCAGGCAGATCTCTGTGAGTATGAGCCAGCCTGGTTTACATAGCAAGTTCTGGGCCAGCTTTATTATCTAATTTACTAGTAATATATTTTCCAGTACTATTTACTCCCAATCCATACACCCAGGATTGATCTCTTTGGGATATCTAGCTATGTATCTGCCTGTGTGTCACAGCCTACAAGAAAATGTGTAGGAAAATAACAGTGGATTTCAATCCTTCTTCCTTATGGACACATACAAGTAATGCAAAGTTAAGAATCAGATGTTACAAATTTAGGTCCTGCAAACAGTTTTTCATTAAAATATGTTTTATCTGTATTTCATAGACTGTCATAGTGGGAAGGGAATTTTGAAATCGTTTTACAGCAGAGAATTGACTGGCTCATGCATTTAATTAATATGTAACAAAGCATTAGAACACATATTTGTAATCTAATAGTTAAAAGGAAACAAGACTTGAGCCCTGCATGAGAGTTTTCCATAACTGCTTTGAAACATCTCCCTTTCGAGAGTGGTGTTTTTGTTTGCTGGTGTTATTGTTGCCTTTCCTATAGCTGGAAGAGGATATAACCAAAAAGATGGACAAGGACGGAGAGGCTTTGAAGGCAGCACAGGCAGAGCTCAAGGAGGCCCGTCGCCAGTGGCACCACCTGCAAGTGGAAATTGAATCTCTCCATGCTGTGGTGAGCAGGATCTTAAAGCAGCTGGCCCACTGCTCCTCAGATGCTATGTGACCAAGGGAGGGGAAGGGGTCTGGGGATGGAGCTCATTAGCAGGGCACTTGCCCAGCACATGCAGTAAAGAGAGAGAAAGGAAGATGGCCATTATCTTACAGTAGCGATCACCAAACACTAACCAATCCTAGCTCTTTGCCACCCATGGTGGTGGCTGTAATCAGCTCACACAGCTTCAGTTTATACCTAGAGAAATTAAGTAATACCTGCTTGTTGTCCTGGAGCTCTCTGATTGTTGAAATGGGAGAACAGAGCTTGTGTTATTATTACCCATAGTCCTTTGTGGGTGTGGGTGTGTTTTGAGACAGAGTCTCCCTGTAGCCCCAGCTAACCTGGACACACAACGTAGACCAGGCCTGCCTCAAACTCACAGGGATCTGCCTGCCTCTGCCTTCAGAGTGTTGGGATTAAAGTATATGCCACCACACCTGGGTCCCATAGTCTTTTTAACAGTGGGTTTCTTATATTCATGCCATTGATATTTCCAATGGAAAACTATTTAAGCACTTTCCTAGCATGCTTTTTATAATCTATATTTTCAATATGTTTTTAAAAATTAAAAACTCAAGGGGCTGGAGTGATGGCTCAGAGGTTAAAAACACTGGTTGTTCTTGCAGAAGACCCAGGTTCGAATCCCAGCACCCACATGGCTGCTAACAACTGTCTGTGACTCCAGTCCCAGGGGATCCGACAGCCTCTTCTGACCTCCACAGGTGTTGCACAACATGGGTGCACTTACCTACATGCAGGCAATACACGCATACACATAAAATAAAAAATAACTAAAAATTTTTTAAAAGTTTAAAAAAACAATAAAAATATTAAAAACTCAAATTGTAGGCCCATTATCAGTCTATGAGCTATTGTTTGGGTTAATTTTCTCTGCTAATTAAAGAATTAAAATGCAGGGAAAATCTCAGACTCTGAAGACAGCAAAGGGCAAACAGGCTTTACTGAAAGATAATCACTTCAATATACATAAAGAATCACATATACATACACACACTCATACAGGGGAAAAGCTCTCCATAAGTAAAGAGGGGACCAGGAAACCGAAAATCCAAAGTCCCTGAGGAGAGTCTGGCTTTTAAGAGTTTTAGTGGTTTCCCCTCTCTTAATTTTGGCCAACTTAAACAAAGAAGATAGGCTGATAGGTCACAACTCCAAGTTGAGATACGACCTGGACTACATGACTCTAAGCCGGTCAGTTGAAGGTGCCCTGTTAGAGTTAAAAATAAGGTCTTCCTGGCCGGGTGTGGTGATACATGCCTTTAGTCTCAGACTAAAGAGAAAGGCAGGTAGATCTCCTTGAGTTCAAGGCCAGCCTGGTCTACATAGTGAGTTCCAGGCCAGCTGGGGCTACAGGGAGACCCTGTGTCAAAAAGACCAAAAAATAAAATAAGGTCTTCCTGACAGAGACCAAGAAGTGCAGGACGTGCACTGTCTCTCTTACTTCTCAAGGACCCTGTTTGCTTTCTAGGGATTTAGTCCCTTTTACACTCAGAGTTCCAGTAAGTTAATCATAATAAAAAGGACTTTTTTTTTTTACTTTTTGAGTCAGGGTCTCCCTGTAGTCCCAGCTGGCCTGGAACTCACTTTGTAGGCCAGGGTGGCCTCGAACTCACAGAGATCTACCTGCCTCTGCCTCCCGAGTGCTGGGATTATAGGCTGTGCCACCACGCTTGGCTTGGACTTTTTTTTTTTTTTAACCACAGAAATGATTATAGGATTCATTTGAAAAATAAAAAGCTACCTAGTTATACATATAAAAAACTTTTTTCCAGTACTAGGGATCGAACCCAGGGCCTTGTGCATGCTAGGTAAATGCCCATCATGAAACTACATCCTTAGCCCCTGCCCTTTTTATTGTTGAGACCACATCTTACTAAATTTCTGAAGCAGGCCTTGAATTGGTGATCCTCCCGCCTCTACTCCGTAAGTGGCTGTGATTGCAGATATGCAGATATGTGTCACCAGACTCAGTCATAAAATACAATTTTTAAAAAAAATTTTATTTATTATTTTTATTTTATGTGTATGCATGTATTGCCTGCATATATGTAAGAGCACCCATGTTGTGCAAGCCCATGAAGGACAGAAGAGGCCACCGAATCCCCTGGAACTAGAGTTACAGACAGTTGTTAGCTATCATGTGGGTGCTGAGATTCGAACCTGGGTCTTCTGCAAGAGCAGCCAGTGTTCTTAACTGCTTAACCAACTCTCCAGCCCGTAAAACATAATTTTTTTTTAATGGAAGTCAGGCGTGGTGGTTCATGCCTATAACCCCAGCACTTGGGAAGCTGAGGAAGGATTTCCATGAGTTCAAGGCCAGCCTAACCTACACAGTGAGACCTTATCTTAAAAAAAATATTTGGCGACGCAGCCAGTCCATGTGGGCGCCTGGGCGGCACAGCTAAGGGTCGCCATGGCGGAGGTGCAGCAGCTCCGGGTGCGAGAGGCGGTAGACGCCATGGTGAACAGTGTGGAGAGGGAGAACATCCAGAAGATGCAGGACCTCATGTTCGGTGCAGTGCCAACTGCTGTGAAGACAACCAAGCATCTATGCAGCAGGTACACCAATGCAACAAGAACTGCCATGCCCCTCTGGCTCAAGCCCAGGCCTTGGTGACCAGCGAGCTGGAAAGGTCCCAGGACCGCCTGACCTGGTGCACCATGCATTGCAATGACAAAGCCAAAGACTCAATGGATGCAGGCAGTAAGGCGCTGCAGGTGAAGTAGCAGCTGCACAGTTGTGTGGCCAAGTGTGTGGATGACCACATGCACCTCATCCCAAGGATGACCAAGAAGATGAAGGAGTCTCTCTCATCCACTGAGAAATAAAAATCTGCCAATGACCACTGGGACCGAGGGCAGGAACTTATTTAAAAAGAAGAATGGAAATTTAGTCTGTTAAGCAAATTTACGAGTGAGGAAACTCAGTGTGCTGCACGTTCCAGGCACATCCCACTTGCCTCTGGACGACAGTTCCCTTATATTTGGATCCTAGAAAATGAAGTGGAAACTGGTGCTAACATTTAAGTCAAAGATAGCAACAGAGGCGGGTTTTGGATCTTGAATTTCATGTGCAAGTGCTTGTCCTGGCAGTAGAGCTTGCCCTTGTACCAAGGTCCCAGATTCTTCTTACCACAGGCCGCCAGGTTCCTTCAGCCTCCCAAAGATCTGGTACAGTTTGAGGAGAGGTGTGTCTATTGTCAACCTCTGTTTACCAAAAAGATCACCACACTAGCTTGCATAAGCTGTGAGACAAAATCCAATAGACCAGTAATTTAGGAGAAAAAAGGTTCCTCTCCAGATCATCATTTTGTTTGGTTTCATCTTGTATGCAGGGACATGAAGTGGATTCAGGGTATGGAATTGGGAGGGAGAGGCGTTTGGAAAACTTTGGAAGGTGTCTTGTATTCTTTTCTGACACCATAATGTGGGTGTCATTTCTTCAAATTCTTGCAGCACATCTTTCAATCTGGAAACCCTGCAGAAACACAGCAGTATCACACTATGTGGGAAACGTCTTCCTTCAGTGGCTTTCTGCAGCAAAGGGACCTAACTATCTTGCATTGACACTGTCCCCCAGTAAAGGAAGGTTTGTCACACACACATAGCAGTATCTGGGATTAAACAGTATATTAGGAACTGCTAGCTAACTGAAAAGTACTGGACTTGGGAAAACCTGGATTTGAAGAGTAAAAGCCTGAACCCAGCATTGCTCACTTAATCTTACTGAATTGACAGAGCCTCATTGAGGGAATCCCCTAACAGGACAAAAAGGAGCAACCTGGGCCAAGGAAAACGGTGACTCCTGTAGAGCAAAAGAATGGCACATGCCTCCCTTTTACCAAATGCCATTTTTGCCTGGGGCCTTTGCACCATACAGTGTTCTGCCCCCTGCAAGGCACCTTATCTTTTGGATAAGGGTATCATGTTGTTTTTGTACCAACCTCTTACTTAAAATGGTAATATAGTTGTCTGTTTGCTGTGTCAAGCCTGTAATGTATTTTCCTAGATGTCTGGTTTTTAAATAAAGTTTCATTGTCTGAAAAAAAAAATTGGCAACCAGACATGATGATACACACCAGTAATCCTCCAAGGCAGTGGGATCCCAAGTTTAAGGCCAGCCTGTATTACACAGTGAGACCTGTCTCAAATAACACAAAAGGAGGCCAGTGAGATGGCTCAGTGGGTAAAGGTGTTTGCCAGCAAGTCTAATAACCTGAGTCTAGAACCCACATAGTGGAAGGAGAAAACATATTCCTGAAAACTGTTCTCTGACTTCCACATTGTGCAGTGGCATGTGCACACCCACACACATACACACTCATACATAAAAAAATGTAAAAATATTTAGCCAAAAAAGCCCACTTGCATGAGTGAAGCACAATTATTACAATCTTTTTAAGTGAAGCTGGAGGTTTTGAAGGACCTGGGTTTGACCACTAGCACCACAGAAACGAACGAATAGAATACACTGGGATAAAAACTCTGCAAATCAGATTTCAGAAGCACATTTTGTGTCACTGATTCAGAGCATCTCTGTCAATAGGAAAGAGGCCTTGAAAACTCCCTGCAAGCCAGCGAGCAGCATTACCAGATGCAGCTGCAAGACCTGGAGGCGGTGATCGATGGGCTGGAGAAGGAGCTGCAGGAAGTCAGGCGAGGCATCGAGAGGCAGCTTCTGGAGCATGAGCTGCTTCTCAACACCAAGATGAGGCTGGAGCAGGAAATAGCCACTTATCGCCACCTGCTAGAAAAAGAAGAAATCAGGTACCTAACCCCACGGCTAATGGCACGACCAGACACAGAGCCACTTGTGTTATTGCTGATGCAATCAGAGAAATCAAATCCAAAATAAAACCCACCACCGACATGGCCTGCTCAGTGAGCTCCTACATTAAAACAGGATTAGCACACCCTTCAAAGTTCATTGTTTCCAGCCTGCTAAAACCAGAAACTTAATAGTCAAAGTTGGCTACCACAAAGTCAGCCAGAACAAAAGGCAAGCAATTCTTGTGTGTGTGTGTGTGTGTGTGTGTGTGTGTGTGTGTGTGTGTATGGCCTGAATGTAGGTAGGTGTACTCATGTCATGCAGTGTCCATGGAAGTCAAAAGAGGACATTGGATCCCCTGGAACTGGAGTTTAGATGGTTGTTAGCTGCCATGTGGGTGCTGAGAATTGAACCTGTGTCCTCCACAAGAACAGCCAGTGCACCTAACTGCTGAGCTATCTCTCCAGCCCCATAGACAAGCAATTCTTGATCATTTTCTTAGTCTTCCTACTTCCCTTGCAGTTGGTCTCCTTTAGGGTTAGTCCTTGCCTTCTACAGACCATCCACAAAGAAAGTTTGGAAGAGTCCAATATTATCACCAGAACACTGCCCTAAGAGGCCACCCCATGGTAAACACCAAAATAAAAAAGAAAATAATGATGATGATGATGATGATGATGATGATGATGGCTAGAGATGGGGCTCAGTTGATAGAGTGCTTGTCTAGCATACATGAAGCCTTGGGTTTGATCCCCAGTACCACATAAACCAGGCATAGTGGTACAAGCCTATAATCCCAATACTAGGGAGGTGGAGGCAGGAGGATTACAAGTTCAAGTCACCCTCAGCTCCACAGCGAGTTGGAGCCCAGCTTAAGCTATCTAATACCCTGTCCCAAAAACACAAAAATCCCTGCACTCAGAAGGCAGAAATAGGTGGATTTGTGTGAGATAGAGGCCAGCCTGGTCTCCATAGTGAGTTCCAGGCCAGTTGGGGCTACAGAGAAACCCTGTCTCAAAAAGACAAAAAAAAAAAAGAAAACGTGAATATAAACATGGACAGTAATTCTGAGTCATATTTAAAAAGCCTTCCAGATGGTTCAGTGGTTAAGAGCACTGACTGCTCTTGCAGAGGACCCAGGTTTGATTCCCATCACCCACATGGCGGCTACAAACCATCCTTAACTCCAGTTCCAGAGAAATCTGAAGCCCTCTTCTGACCTCCGTGGCGTTGCACGACTTGGGTGCACTCACATACATACAGGCAATACACTCGTACATATAAAATAAATAAATAAAAATAATAAATAAAATATTTTTTAAAAAAGCCTTCCAGGTATCCTGATAGGAAAAGGTATTAAAAGAATTTCTTTTGTCTTTTTGAGACAGGGTCTCCCTGTAGTCCAGAATTCTTATTTATTAAATATTGTAATTTACAACCATCTATAAGACCAGAGAGTGCTGAACATGGTACCACCTCCGAGTCTCTATATTTTCATAAAAACAATATTTTTCTTGCTTGTTTCAATTTTCTCATCTGTAAAATGGGAACGATATTACCTACCTCACAGGATTGCTGTGAGAATTTAATGAGTTAATGTTTGCCAAGTGCTTAAAAGAGTATCTAGTATATGGTCTGTGCTATGTAAAAATATATATAGTTCTATGTATGATGTGTTATAATGCATATTATTAAATGGTTGTAGATTTATTTAATTCCTAGCCATTCATGATTTTGACAAATGGGTCTTTAATACTCATATAATTATCTAAATTTTTATTACTATATTTGAGATATACAAAAAATTGAGAAACTATAAGCAATGTTATTATATATCATGAAATAGTCCTATCACTTTAAAAGTCCTATCTGTTAAAACACTTCACCCTCTTTAAGAAGTAACATTTCCAGGGGCTGGAGAGATGGCTCAGTGGTTATGAGCACTGACTGCTCTTGCAGAGGACCCGGGTTCGATTCCCAGCACCCACATGGTGGCTATGAACCGTCCTTAACTCCAGTTCCAGGGGAATCCAAAGCCCTCCTCTGGTCTCTGAGGCATTGCACAACACGGGTACATTCACATACATGCAGACAATACATTCATACACATAAAATAGAAATAGTAAATAATTTTTTTTTAAAAAGTAATGTTTCCAATGTTGAAGTCCCCTGGGCAGAATCTACACCATTTCCCTCTTTAATCTGGCTCCTGAATTTGATACTTATTAGTCTCATACAGTCTCTTATAGTAATATATGTGTATCACTGAACAAAGAATAACATTGGCCTGTGTCTTATTTTAACCTTTATAAAATTATCTGCAGGTTTCCTTTCACTCAATGCCATGCCTGGGAGATTTCATTGACAAAGATACCACATGGGGACTGGAGAGATAGTTCGGTGGTTAAGAGGGGTTGTCTGTTTTTGCAGATGATGTGGGCTCAGTTCCTAGCACCCATGTGGCAGCTCACATCCCTCTGTAACTCCAGTTCCAGGGGATCTAGCATCCTCTTCTGACTCAAGGGCATGGCATGCATGTAGTGCACATACATATATGCAGGCACTCATACACATAAAATACAAATGCATACTCTTTTTTAAGATGCTGTATGGCCTTTGTTCATTTACTTTCACTGGCAAACAGCATTCCCACTGCGTGAACACGCCCATCTGCCCACTCTCATTTCTATTCTTTGCTACCACAGTGCTGTTTCTCTAACTCTTTCCCTTTTCAGATATTATGGTTGTATCCAAGGAGGGAAAAAGGAACAGAAACCCACCACAAGTAAAGTTGCCTTTCGTCTGCCTTCTGGTGAGTTTCTGATATAATTAACTAATTTGAAAAACTGATGTGCCCTTTATAAGGATTATAAGGAAACTTCTCGTCCAGCGTGGTGGCACACGCCTTTAATCCCAGCAGTCGGGAGGAAGAGGCAGGTGGATCTCTGTGAGTTCAGGGCCAGCCTGGTCTACATAGTGAGTTCCATGCCAGCTGGGGTTAAAGGGAGACCCTGTCTCAAAAAGACCAAAAAATAAAAAATAAATATAAAAATAAAATATAAGGAAACTTCTCCAAAGTAGCTAAAAGAAGTTAATATTCAAATAAAATTTTGACATGGAATTTAACTGTGAACAGTATTTCAACATTGTAATTTGCTATAACATTTCACAGCCATTATAAATGAAATATCTTTTTCAACAAAAGTCCCCAAAAAGTATGAGAGTGAAAAAGTGGACCCAGTGACGAAACAGGCAATATTAAATGGAAATGTGAAGGAGAGCACGGAAGCCCACGGCACCATTCAGTAAGTACATTGACTAAGAAACAGTAACAAACATGAAGCAATTACTTGTCAAGTGATCTTCAAATGTTTCAGTTTTAATATTCTGTGATTTTTTTAAGCTGACATGAATATACATACTAAAACACAGAGAAGAGTATGTAACCAAGAATTTAGAGAGATGGTTCAGTGGGTGAAGTGCCTGCTGGGCAAGCATAAGGACCTGAGCTTGGATCGCCAGCACCCACGTAAAAAGTCAGAAGCAGAGGCCAGCCTGCAACCTGAGAGCTGGGGAGGCAGACAGGATTCCTAGGGCTTGCTGACCAGTCAAACACAGAGCTCCAGGTTCAGAGAGGGACTCTGTTTGAGAAACCAATGTGAAGCCCGGCATGGTAAAGCATACCTTTAATCCCAGCATTCAGGAGGCAGAAGCAGAAGGATCTCTGTGGGTCCAGGCCAGTCTAGGCTACATAGTGAGTCCAGGCCAGCCTAGGCTACATACTGAGTTCCAAGCCAGCCTACGCTACATAGTGAGTTCCAGCCAGGGCTACACAGTGAAACCCCATCTCAAAACAAAAACAAAAACAAAGTGGGGAACAATAGAGGGGAACATCCACCTCTAGTCTCCACATGCACACACACACACGGACATGGACACAGACACGCACACACATACACAGAGGAGAAATAGGCAACCAATTCACCATTTTCCTAAAAATTAAAATCAAAACATGAAAATTATATTGAAATTCTAGAGAATTACTTAAAATTTGTATCCTTACAATTTTTAAAGTCCTGTACGTCAACTGGAAACACCACAACTATACATTATACAAATCAGTCCACTTCTGTCTCATGGATATGGAATATTGCATTTATTTTCATTCTTCTATAAAAAGCTTTATCATTTCAGGACAGAGAAAGTAGATGAAGTTATTAAAGAATGGGAAGGTTCGTTCTTTAAAGATAACCCTCGATTGAGGAAAAAGTCTGTTTCGCTCCGATTTGATCTTCACTTGGCAGCCACTGATGAAGGGTGCTTGCAGACAAAGCAGGATAATCTGCCAGATATTGAAGTCAGGCTCATCATGCGAAGATCCTGTAGCATCCCCTCCATCAAACCCCCATCCACAACTAATTAACCAAGAGATAGTATTTTATCTGTAAATGACATTAGGATGGACTGGGTGGGCCATACAGACCCCTGGTCCTGAATGTAAGTTATCACACATGTATGGATAACAGTACAATCATTGTGGGATTGTGATTCTCTTCAGAAAACACACACAGTAAGAGGTAGCGTCTCTGTGGACACAATGATGGTATATTATTTGGAGTGGGGAGGCTTAAAAATAAAATCAGAAATTCAATGTGATTTCTGTTGTATTTCTCCTCCAAATAGTCTTTTCTCCAGGTGCACTTTATCAGAAACAAAGTGTTAAGCTGGTTTGGTTAAGTCCATAATTTCGCCAAATGGTTGACCAGCCTAAGGAAAACAAGAGTTTGTTTGAACACTGAGTATTCACACTGAGTTATTTACCCTGATTCCAGGACTGGCTAAACCTAAATTGTTTGTTCTACTTTTTAAAAGGCAGAAGTCATAAACAAATTTAAGGCAGGACTCACTGTTCACTTATGATTTTTCCTTTGAGACAATCATTTGACCTTGGAAATTAAGAAGAGTTCAGTCCATGAGCAATTCTGAGCAAGGTATAGCCACACCTAGAGACTATATTGATGACTAAATAAAATTAGGCCAATTTATATTTGAAAGGTTTTTATAATCAGTATCTGATTTCCTGAACAGTCCTTTACTGAAAGAACTACAAAGATTGTATCCTTACACACACACACAGTCAGAAAGCCAACTGTAGAAGCAAAACATTTAAAGAATATTGAAAAGGTGGTTACAGCCAGGCATGGTGGTGCACGCCTCAGAGGCCGCCGGATCTCTGTGAGTTCAAAGCCAGCCAGGTCTGCACAGAGAGTTCCAGGCCAGCCAGGGCTATATAGTGAGACCCTGTCTCAACAACAAAAGAACAAAAAGAAAGGAGATTACTATAGTTACTAGACGTTGCCCACCTCTCATCATCCTAATTTCTGCCTCTGCATGGTTTCCATGGTTACAAGGAGCCTGAGATCAGCACTCTGAGAACCAAGACAGATGCTTCCTGCATCATTTATGTGAACTGAGATAATATTATTATCTGAGCTGAGAGTGTTTGCAGGACTTGTTTTTAAATTGTTTAAACTGTAATAAATAGAGACGTAAAATATATTTGGGAATAAGTACTGTTGCAAAGATTTTAAAGCAACTTAATTTGTTTAATACAGATATATTTCTTTTAAGAACCTTAACTAATACCCATTTTAAGACATTAGAAATTTATAGGCTATTAATTTTTTCTAAACAGAAAAAAAAATGGTTGAATACAACTCATCAGACTTTTTTTCGGCTAAAGGATCATTTAAGGGCTACGGTGATGTTAGCATTTTAGTACAGTCTTCCAAAACAATCCTTTCTCTCTCCCCCACATGTGTATATATGCATATGTCATCCCACAAAATGTATGTTTTAACTGCAAGAAAACCATGTTAATAACCTTTAACATTACAGGGAATAACATTTAAGTTTTTCTTTCATGACTTCCAATTCTTTGTACCCTGACTTACTCTATTTAGTAAAAAGGAACTATTTTTTTTTTTTTTTTGCCAAGGATACAACAGCATGTAAGTGCTTCTTCTTGCATAAGCATCTGCCCTAAACTACATCCTATATAAACTGCTTCATTTGGGCTCAGGACATACCTCAGTAGCAAGGTTTCATCTAGCACACAGGAGGCACTGGGTTTGGACCTCAGCACAAAAAAAAGGGGGGGGGAAAGATTTATTATTTAATGCTACAGACTTTATTAAAGCTTCAAAATGCAATCATAGAAGCTATTGTGCTGATTACTATATTACAAAACAATGATTATGATAGAGCAATACATTTAGTGTAATCTATTGTGCTGTTAGTCTGGGCATTATGTATGTAACCGCTTGTTATAGTTATCCCATTACGCAGCTATTGTGTGTATAACATGTACACTTTTAAATGCAGTACTTGAATTTATAACAAAGTTTTATTTGCTTTAAGGTATTTTAAAATCAGGGTATGAATTTACCAAAGTAAATGATACCATTATAATAAAAAAATTGAAACATGAACTCTAAAGTTGTCTTGTATTTGCGTTCTCTCATTTCAAAGATGTCTGTGCATGGTTAAGCAAAACAAAGTTGGCTTGACTGGGGAATAAAAAAACTTCAGTCACAGTAGACGGTGGGTTTAATTTTGTTTACAAGATAAATTAAGGATGACATGTTAATGTTGTATTTTAATTAAAAAGTCCAAGCAGGCAGTGATGGTACACACCTGTAGTATTCCGGCACTTGGATGGCAGAGGGCAAGAAGTCTTTGAGTTCCAGGCCAGCCTGGACTACATAATGAGACCCCACAAAAAGTTAAACAATTTTAAAAACTCATAATACTGGGGAAAGTACAACAGTAGTAAACATTATTTGCAAAGCACTTGCAGGATTTCAGGTACTGTGGTCAGTAACTCACCATAATCCTTCATCCTTACAGCAATTTTACAAAATAATACTATCTTAGAGATGACTAGAAATTAATAATCCTCCATCCCTTTGAAATATTTCAACTGTAAGTTGGCACACTTTTAATCCCAGCACTCGGGAGGCAGAAGCACTCAGATCTCTGTGATTTCAAGGCCAACCTGGTCTGGTCTACATAATGAGTTCAGTCCAGCTGGGGCTGCAAGGAGACCCTGTCTCAAAAAAAAGAAAAGAAAAGAATATTTCAATTGTATGATCCCATAACAAAATACAAAAATAAAGAGTAATTCCAATTACTAACAGCTGTGTTGAGAAGATTGGCATGGAACTGAAGAGAGGCTCCAATTTAAAAAATGGAGAGAGGCTCATGTAAGAGGAAAAATCACTCTAAGTCCCCTAGACCTCAAGTTTCACACAAGAAAACAAAGAGAAAACAATGCTTGGTTGTAACTCCACCTTCTCTACCTCATGGTTGCTTTAAATAATGTGTATGTGGAAATAGCACCACTCAAATGTGCAAAACCATCTGAATGAAAACTGTCTCTGGAGTAAAATAGTTTGAGGAAAATCACAGCTGACAATGATTAAGCAACAGTTCAAAGCACAACAGTTAAAAATGCTTTCAATTCTTGCTGGGTGTGGTGGTGCACACCTCTAGTCCCAGCACTCGGGAGGCAGGCAGATCTCTGTGAGTTCAAGGCCAGCCTGGTCTACATAGTGAGTTCCAGGACAGCTGGGGCTACAGGGAGACCCTGTCTCAAAAAAAAAAAAAAAACATTTTCAATTCTTCTATTCCAGTAAAATTCTTCCTTCCCAGTAAATTACCCAACTTGAGCTGTTTTATTATGATAGTTTTTAAAGTATGAAAGTTATCTTAAAGAAAACAGATGATCGATGTTTAACTATTGTGTCTATGTGATGCACATATGTGTGCGGCTGCACACCTGCCACGGCAGGTGGTAGAAGTCAGAGGACAACTTTCAGGAGTTAGTTCCCTTGCACTGTAGAATCTGGGGATCAGATTCCAGTTTGCACAGCAAGTGCTTGTCCCAGTCCCCAGTCCAATAAATGACTGTTGTTTTAGCCCCTATATTTTGAGATAATTTATCATGCAGTAACATACAACTAATATCACATATATTTTTCTCCTTGATTAGTAAAGGTATTTATGTTGTCAAACTTCAGTTTGCCTTTCCAATTGTTTTCTGTTTCCTTTCTGAGACCTGTGTGCGTTTGTGCATGTGTGCGTGTTTACACAATGAGTGTGAGTCGAGGCCAGAGGACAAAACCAGGTGTCATTCCTTGTTTTTTCAGACAGGTCTCTCACCAACACCTGGAGCTTGCCAGGTAGGTAGGCTAAGTTGACTGGCCTGTTTCCAGCACCGGGATGACAAGAGGTGCCAAGAGGGTTCTGGGCTGGAACCCAGGTCCTCGTGCTTGCATTTCACCAACTGAGCCATCTCCCAGTCCATGTGCAACTATCCTGGCCTTGAAGTCAGCTTATGCCAGGAGTCACTGTGGGTTTTTTACCCTGCCCCACCCTCACCACCTTGCTTTGTATAAACATCCCCACCCTGAGATAAGCCCAAGTAACTAAGACCATACGTGAGCCAGGTGGAAAAAAACACCTATCATACTTTTAAAATTTACTATTATTGCCGGGCACGGTGGCCAATGCCTTTAATCCTGGCACTTGGGAGGCAGAGGCAGGTGGATCTCTGAGAGTTCAAGGCCCGCCTGGTCTACATAGTGAGTTCTAGGCCAGCTGGGGTACAGGGTGACCCTGTCTCAAAAAGACAAAAATTATTTATTATTATTATTCTTAGGGGGTGCCACAGCACATGTGTGTAAATCAGAGGGCAACTATGTGGAGTTTATTCTCTCCTTCCACCTTTACAATAAACCAGATGGTGCACATCTGTAATCCTAGCACTTGGGAGACACAGCAGGAGGATCTCAGAAGTTTGAGGTCAGCCTAGACTACATAGTGATTTCAAGGTCAGGCTGAGCTACATAGTGCTGGGGGTTCAAACCAGCAACCCCCGGGCAGTGATGACTGGGGATGAGTAAGCATGCCATTCGCCAGCCCACACCATCCCCCAATACCGGGAACACTCAGGCACAATGGGGAGCCTAGTCAAGCAGGGACTCATTTATTGCAGGTATTACAGAGCTTATAAAGGCACCTGGAACTCCCCCCTCCCCCCTGAGGGTATATCTTAAGAATGGTCACACGCTGATCATGCACTCCTCAGCAGTGAGGAAGTATTCTTCAGACTTTCAAAGCAAGCCGGGCCACGCCCCCAGTAACTTCCTATGTTGTGGGGGCCTTTATCCCCACAACATAGTGAGACTGTCTCAGAAACAAAAGTGCAACAGAACAAACTCCATTACAAACTCTGTGGCTGTCATGAGTTCAGTATCTTTCTTGAATCATATGTTTGAGAATCCAATGAAACTACTAACCCTCTCCTAGGAAAAGCACATGAAAATTGTATACAATTTTAAAGGGTTTTCAACCCTCCCAAAGCCTATTCACATGGAATATAATATGTAACAAATTTTATTGCATCTACCTATGAACTCCCACGTGTCCAAGAACTGCAGGCCTTTCCTTGTTTTCATTGCCTCCTTTTCCTTCTTCCTTCCTAGTTACAGGCATCTCCCAGCCCCTAATTCTGTCTGTCTCAACAGTTCCTTCCCAAAGTATTATGGAAAGAAGTCAGAGACCTGGGCTGGAATCTCAGCTTAATCACTGGCTAGTCTGGGCTTCCCTGTCTGAAAGGAAGGTCTCCAAGAAAGTGTGAGTACTAGCAAGCCAACTGCCTAGATCTTGCTGCCAGGAATATAAAGTCACTGGTCTAAAACCACCCCTGGAGTTTACTACAAGCCCATATGAGGGCTCCCTAGACATAGTTGCACATAAACAGTCATTTCAGTGCTGTATCCCAGATTTTCCAAACATCTGTCCTATGGTGTCCATAAATGTCCTTGTACAAGCAAGACCACATGTTCTGCTGTTTGCTCTCAGGGGAATGAACTCTGCAAATAGAGGACACTTCCATTTTGGAATATTTCACCCTTCAGCTTAATCACTGGCTAGTCTGGGCTTCCCTGTCTGAAAGGAAGATCTCCAAGAAAGTGTGAGCACTAGTACTTCCATATCCTCAAGACTATGGAAGAGTTTTTTTTATTATTATCTCTTACCTATACTCTTCCTTTAATTAAAATTTTTTAGAGCCGGGCATGGTGGCGCACATCTTTGATCCCAGAACTCAGGAGGCAGAGGCTGGCAAATCTCTTTGAGTTCAAGGCCAACCTGGTCTACATAGTGCGTTCCAGAGCAGCTGGGGCTACAGGGAGACCCTGTCTCGAAAAAGCCAGAAAAAAAAAATTTATAACATCTACCTATTTCTTCTCTGTGTGTGCATGTGCAATTCAGGAAGTGTGTGGAAGTCAGAGGACAACTTACCAGAGTCAGTTTTCTCCTACCACGTGGGTCCTGGGGACTGAAGTCAGGTCATCACTTGGGAGTAAGCACTTTAACCTACTGAACCACCTTGCCAGTCCCCCTTCCTAAATGTTTAAATCTTAAGGAATAGAGAAGAACAAAAAGAAGGAAATTTGACAGTCATCCCCTTATTTGACAGATGAGGATCTAAGGATATTATGCACTGTTCAAGACCTCAAATGTCCCCAACACAAAGCTCTCATTCCAAAAGGAAGTGAAAGAGAAAAAAAACAAAATCGATGCATACATAAAATTTTTAGTGACAAGTGCTATAGAAAATAATAATAATAATAATAATAATAATAATAATAAAGCACAGGCCATGGAGAGAATAAAGCCTGGGGAATGAGTTTGATTTTAGATAGATCAGAAGACCTACTAAAGTTAGCTTTGAATAAAGACTGCATGAGAAGATTGCAGGTATAACACGCTTAGCATGTTCAAGACCCTGGGTTGAATCCTCAGCACCATACAGAAGGGGGAAAATAAGAAACTCTATCAATGTCTCTGTTCCACTTGGAGCCTCGCTCCCTCTCCGTTTTTTAAACCAATTCCCTGCCAGTCTTTTCCCAACACAACATGCTACGTTCCTGACACCCACACACCGCTGTCTTCAGAGAACTGCCTACCATAGCACAATGTCCCAGCTCCCCTAGCTCCTATCCAGTCCCACAACGGCAAAGACAGAGAAAGGCTGGAGTTGCTGGGCAAAGCCAGATTAGGAAACAATGGATTGGGGCTGGAGAGATGGCTCAGCAGTTAAGAGCACTGCCTGTTCTTGTAGAAGACCTGGGTTCAAAACCCAGCACCCACATGGGGGTTAACAACCATCCATAACTCCAGTTCCAGGGGATCCAATGCCCTCTTCTGTCCTCCATAGTCACTGCATGACAGGGGTGCAGTTTACACACATTCAGGCACAACACTCATACACATAAAACAAAAATAAATCAAAAGAAAGAAAACACACTGGGTCCCTGCTGTGATTTATCCTTAAATCAGTCTTTCCATTAAAGAGGATTAAAAAAACAACTTCAGGACATTATCTCAAACACCACGAAAGCCGCCCATTCATTTGAATATGCCCTTTATTACTCTCTATTCAAGGGTGAAAGAACTAGACAGTATCACCTATCTACAGACTTCTATAGATGCCCCAGTTCCTGTCTTAACTACCAGGACAAGGGCCTATGTGTTGTCCCAAGATTCAATCCGTTTCTCTAAATGCCAACACAGTAGCCCAGGTGTCTCTAAACTTAGCATGATACACCAAAGTACTTGCAATTAGTGAAGAGCCCTGGACTCATCTAGAAGGGTGCCTCAACACACACTGAACATCTAACCTACACGTCCAGCCCTTAAAAACTATTGGCAACATGAGGATGTTCACAGCAGGATGTCTGAATCTTTGTCTTCCAGACTTTCAATGACGCAGATGACCCAGTCCCATACAAAGGGCATAAACGGCATACAAAGGCAGATCTGAGATGCATCTTGGGGGACAGGAGAGTCTAAGCTGAATTGGTTGTGGAAAGGCATCCGAACATAAGTCAAGGGTGCATAACCTGATGAGAGAGGGTGGGGACCTAGGCTCAGATCTGGGAACCAAGGCTCAGAAACCCGAGGAACCCTCTGGAAAACTGCAAAACTCCCGTGTTGCTTTTCGCCAAGGCGGTGAAGGCAGAGAGCACTGCGGGGCGCCGGCAAGGATCCCAAGGCGGCCACCCGCGCCCTCCCCGCCTCCATCCTTCTTCCTCCATCGGCAAGCTCAGGACCAAAGCGAAGAGGAAGTGGCGGGGAACGGGAGCTGCGGCTCGGACGTCCCTCCGCCGAGTGTCGGAGTCTCGCCGCGGCGGCCCTCGCTAGGGCTCTACCAGCCCGCCGCGTCCCCGCCGCCGCAGCCTCCCGGCCGCAAACCCGGAGCCCGTCGCGCGGCCCGGCCTTCTCCGCCCTCCGCGCCGTGACGAATCGGCGCCCGACTGGGAAAGGATCCAAACTGGAGGAGTTCTGAAGACTCTGTGGAGCCTGAAAAAAAAAATCCTTGAGCGCACCAAGCTTCGCCGCGTGTTCTCCGCAAGGGCGTTCGTCGGAGGAGAGCCGGCCCCGGCCGGCCGAGAAACCCCACGGCGTGTGGAAAGTGCGAGCGCGGAAGCTCCGGCGCGAGGGGCGGGGCGAGCGCGGGACAAAGGGAAGCGAAGCCGGAGCTGCGGGCGCCCTCTCGGCCCGCGGGTGAGTGTTTCCTAGTGAGCCCGACGCGGGTCGGGGAGGGTGGAGAGCTCTGCTGTTTCGGCTTGTTGGGACCCCGAGTTCCCGGCGGGGTGCCGGGATGCGAGCTGGGCCGCGGGGCCCGAGCTGGGGCCGGTGCGGCCTTCGTGCGGCCTAGCGACGCAGGGTCTCCCGGCAGCCCGGGCCGCGGCGCGACGCGTCCCTTCCGCCAAGTCCTCGCCGCTGGCCCAGACCCATGCACAACCCGCTTGGGGGAGTTGTCGGGAAAGTGCATCCTCTACCGCAAACCCGGAGGAAACGACCTCGGAGGAAGCCCTTGGGGCAAGGCCAGCAGGTGGTCCTCGTACCCCCAGGTGGCACTCACTCCCCCCAGGCAGTCCTCACCGCCATCCCCCAGGAAGGTGGAGGCAGCGACCTGAAGATTCAGGGGTGGCATGGAGGAGCGGAGGGGCAGAGGCAGGCGGTGTGATCTGGGTTTGAAACCCAGCTCTGGCACTTGTGGGCCTATGGCTTTAGACAAGTTCCTTAAACGCTCTGAAACTGTTTCTTCATCTGTAAAATGGGGACAGCTAGGGTCGTTGTGACTAGTGAGCGAGACGGTGTAGTAAGCCTGACCCGTATAAGGGAAGTTCAACAAATACCGAGTTTCATGCCAGGCACTAGGTTAGCTCCACTGTGGACAAATGTACAGGCCCAGTCTTGGGATTTCTATTCTAGGACAGGAGAGCAGTCGTTTGAAAGTATTAGCAGTGAAGTGTAAGGTACCAGGGATCTTGTCAGAGTTTTTGTCAGGACTCCCCACAGCAACGCCTACTGGATGTTGACAGCTTTCCCCAATGTGAGCCAAGAGGGGACGGTTCTTTAAGGAAAGGAGAGACCTAGGTTGCAACATGAACCACAGGGACTCATCCTGATGATTTGGAGAGTTTCCTTAAAATGAGAAATAAAAGGAAATAAATCATGCTTGTTTTACATAAGGTTGCGTGAAAGTCCTGCAGTAGTCAGAGTTTGCCTTCTTTGTAAAAATGAATTTCTGTCTCTTTATACCTAACCCTTGTGATGTATATTGATGTAAGGAGCAAGCTCACGGGTGTCTGTTCATGTTGTGAGCTGGTAATGCTAGGACAGAATTTATTAAGAATTGAGCCAGGTTTAAGGAATGCAGTAGTAGATTATAAGATCATCCCTGTTTCCTTGCAACATGAAACCTATTGGCCGGTTTTAAAAAGATGTTGTGAGGAAGACTATCATTGATCTTTGTAAACTAGATAGAAATCCAGATGAATAAGCAATTAATTCCGCCCAGAAGATTTATGAAGAAAGCACCATTGAGATAACTTCTGAAATGGGCCGTCAAGGAGCAGTAAGAGTTGTTCAAGTGGACTCTCAACATTTACTCCCGGTACTTATGAAACTATTTACGAATAAAGAGAAGTAAAGTCTATTATCACAGAGTTGTCTTTCACACTGCCTCCAGGAGTAAGATGCTGCGCTGTTTTAAGAGAAGTTGTCCCAAAGCAAGGTAGAACTGCTGAGGTAGTTGTCAGTATCTGGTAGGCCTTGTTGGGGTCACCCTGATAATACATCACATCCTATTGTCATTGTTTTTTTTTATCAGTCTGAGTAAACGTTCGCACGGCATCAGCAAAATGTTTTCCATACAAGACGTGGCTCAGTATCATAAGCAAAATTATAAAATACATCTCTAATACAACTCTAAATTTCCCAGTAATTTATTTTCCTCATTTAATTCTGATCAATCAAATGACTTCAAGAACTAGCTAAACTTTGCAAAAGGCTTGATTGCTAGCAATTAACAGTGAAGTAATTTTGTTCAGAAATACCAATTAAACTACCCTATTCTTTAGGAAAACATTCTCTTATGCTTGCTGAGTTTTGATTCTCTTTTTTTTCCTTTTTTTTCTTTTTTTTTATTTTAGTGTCTCAGATTCATTCTTAAGGAACTGAGAACTTAATCTTCCAAAATGTCAAGTAAGTTTCAATTTTCATATTTATCAATCTGTGTTAATAAGAGACTAATGCCCTAGCAAATGGGAATTCCAAAATACTCTGATTTTTTTTCTTCAAAACAGGACCATTGGTAGTTTTGTTGCATAGTATTATATCTCAGTTGTTTACAAGAAGTTATTTATTTTCTTTCAAACAGAAAGACCATCTTATGCCCCACCTCCCACCCCAGCTCCTGCAACAGTAAGTTTTAATTTTCTTGTTAATGTAATAGCCAAGTCTGGCCTTGATACAAAAACCCAGATGTCTTCCAGTGACAGTCACTTAGTCATCACAGCCACAGGATGAAAAGTTCAGCTAAAAACCAGCACTTCCTACTAAATAAAATAACTCTTTTCATCTTGCTTGAACCAACCCCAACATTTAAAAAAAACATATGAAATTCCAATCTCCTCTGCTCTGTTTTTTTCTTAGTGGGAAATAAATGACAAGTTTAACACTTGGTTCTCGTCCATTTTCCCTGCTGTGTCTTGAAGTTAATGTTGAGTAAATGCTCATGCTCACACTTTTTATTCTTTTTTTAATTGTTTTTAAACCTAACCTTCAGCTGGTTACCTTTTTCTCCCACTCTAAGGGCTGGGGATGTAGCTCAGTGACAGAGCATTTGCCTGGCATGTGCAAGGCCCTCGGATGGAACCCCAGTACCACAAAATGTGCTTTGGTCTTGCTTTTTTAAATTTTTTAATTAAACTTTCTTGTCTCTATATAAAATTTTCATACTAAATAATAAAGTGTTTTAGTTCTATAAATAACTACACTCAGTATAAATCTTTATTTCAAGCTGCTCAAGTAAGGATTCCCAGTACTTATGGGTCAGATCTTGCTGCTGGATTTTATCCTACTCCATAAATTATATTAGTTTGCAAGTTGATCTGTTTCAGAGTGTCTAAATGATAGTTGTGAACTATTTTCACCCAGCAAGCTCTAACCCAGCTTGATCAGCATATAAAATACTGGTCCAATCCACAATACAGATTAAACAGTAGTTACTCAGGCCCTTGTTGAAATGGCTTTCTTATTGTTTATAAAAACAAAAACACTTAACCATATCCTACAAAATCAGGGTTTTGTTTTATTTCGTTTTGTTTTGAGACAGGGTCTCTCTCTGTAGCCCAGACTGGCTTCAAACTCGTGATCCTTCTGCCTCAGCCTTCCAAGTGCTGGGATAAGCATGCCCGGCCAAAAATGAGTTCTTTAATAGGTGCTAGCTCTTCCTTCCATACCCCCTTACCACCTAAATTTCAGGCTAGTCTACTTTTTACTACTAATAAGTTTCTGTGTAACTTTATTTTCTCTACTAGGTAACTTTATTTACTAACCCTTAGGTATATGTTTTAGCTAACATTTATCAACAAATTTGTTTTTCTTTCAATCCTTTTTTTAAAAAACGTATCATATATTCTTAGTTAATTCATGTACTATACAGTCTCTAAAGTTGACTCCAGTAGGCCATACAGTCCTGAACTTGGTTTGTTTTCTTTCTCAAAGAACATTTCTTACCACCATCTCCATCACATTATACTCATGGCTGTGTAGGCTGAGCTGAACAACCGAGAGTCTCACTTCAAAGATATAACCGTATCTCAGCTTTGGAAATGGTATAATTACAACATACTAATTTCATTTTTTTTTAATTCCCCTATTTTGTTACATTATTGCTTCATCATGTTAAACCTATAACTCATTGCATATGCAACATTTGGAGGTATCATTTTTATGTAAATACTGCCTCCAACAGTGTGAACAGCATGAACAGACATGCCATTTTGAGGTAAAGATGTTTGGAAACCCAGTATCCCCTTCTGAGTTTTCAGACAAAAAAGGGATTTTTTCCCCCTTCATGCCATTATAATTTCACATTTACACACAAAGTACAGAAACTAGGAATAACAGCCACCTGGCAGAGTAGATACGCAATGAGCTAGTCGCCTTCTCTTTTTCTTACTCCATTACTTTTACCACCATCACTACCACCTCCTCCTCCACCACCACTCAAAACGTTCCACTCCACGTAATAAACACTTCTTTTGTGCCTTTACTATTTCATCTGTGTTTTGCTACTTAAATATGCTTGCTTTGCGTCTTTTCTAACTATTTAGGCTAGAAATTAATCACTTGTTCACCTCTTAAAAAAGTATCAAATGTACTATCTGCTTGAATGTCTTTGGATTCTAAGGATATATACAGCGGCATGTTTTAGAAAATGGTGTTTATGTTGTAACAGCTAAAGTTTAGTGGAGATATGTTAAGTGTATTTCATATTACGTAATTCAGGAGAGATGTATTAATTGCATGTGAAATGACATTGCTATCACTTGTTATGATTGAGTTTCATTAAGTAAAATATGTACTTTTGTCTCTTTACTACATTCTATTTAAGCATTTTGCCTTGATTTCATAAACATTAGATGTCATTGTATTAACCACAAGGCTCCGGTTACATAAAAGCCCATTTGTGATTGCATCAACACATAATTCACAAAAACCAAGAATTTTGTTATCATAGTGAACAGTTGTATTTTGAAAGAAAGGGTGAGAGCTTTCAGGAAATTAGATGAAAAAATTCAAGTCTGTAAACTAAAAATAGTAGTTCCCATTAAGATTTAATGCGTAGACTGTTCATGGTTGCCATGGAAATGGATCAAAGAAGAGGTGAAGAGAAAGCCTATAAAAGAATAACTGGGTTAAAGATCAGATAGCGCCCCAGAATGAAATCTATGCATTTCTTACAAGTCTTTGTTTTGAAATCATGTATGTGACATCCATTGAATCAAACATGTGTTCTTTCCTATTGACAATCCTGGCTTCCTGATTCAGTCCCCTCTCATTTGTCACATTATGTAGGATTATTTAAAGCCATCTTTGAAAAGCAGATTGTTTTTGTTTTAGTAAATGAGTCATTGGTGGCATCCACATAACTGTCAAATAAATCATGTTTTGTTTTGCATGTAGTGTTTTCAGACATAGTTTATCACACTTTAGGCTTTCCTATCCCAGACATCACATATTGCTAAGTTGTTATATCATACTGTTGACCATTAAGTAATCCTGAATGTTTGAAACACTGCAGTGTAATGCTTTCCTCAGAAACAAACCACACATTCACTCTCACAGACACCCCTAGCCCCTGGAAAAAGAAAAAAGGGAAGTGTATTATGCTCTCCACAGACAAACACCACACTCTTTCTCTCTCACACACCCCGCCCGTGGCAAGAAAAAGAAAAGAAAAAAAAAAAACACACACACACACACACACACACACACACACACACACACACACACACACACACATATTCACTCACTCTTGCAGGCTGGTTTCTCAGTGAAAGAATTAATTTCCTCACCCAACGGGGAGAAAAAAAAAAACAATTACAACACATCATTGCTTGTGTAAATTCAGGTTGCTTTTGCATGCCATATGCAGATCATTTTTCATTTCTGTGTTTTCCTCGTTTGAGCTCATTTCTCATTCGTGTTTTTGTCTCATTTGTTTCCATCAGCAAATGCCCAGCACACCAGGGTTTGTGGGATACAATCCATACAGTCATCTCGCCTACAACAACTACAGGCTGGGAGGGAACCCGGGCACCAACAGCCGGGTCACGGTAGGAGAATCAACTATTACAGCCTCCGGCAAACAACTGGAATTGACCAGAAATGCCTCCAGAGTTAGGTCCTTTTGAACCAGAAGCACGGCCATTAAAAAAAAAAAAAAAGAATTTAACCTGGCTTTTCAACTATTTTAAGCATTATTGTACAGTCTTAAACACTGAAAAACAAAAGCACAATCTGGATATGTATGTGGAAGAAAAGAAAAATCCATTCTGTATGGTGGTCAGTAGGGATAAAGCCTTGGACACTTAATGCTCATGCTGTGTGTAAGCCAATGTAGAATTCTTTTGGTTAAAATACCTTTTATGACATGAAGAGTATCTTTCATTTTTCTAAGGTGATTGGCATTCTCAAGGATTTAGTTTCTTAATAAATGATGGGGCTTTCAGATCTGGCTTTTTCTGGGCTAGAAAGCTTTTGGCTAACCTCAGTCCAAATTTCTACACTTAATTATTTGTCTTTTGGATTTAGTAGTCGACCTCCTAACTTGAGACTCATTTCTGTCCAGTTAAATAGAGAAAAAGACTTTATTGTCACCTTAAGGAATTTTAGAATAAAACTTGAATTAATTCCAGGTATTAGACACGCTAAGTACAGCTAGCTAAAAGTCCAATTCTAATCTGATTTTCAAATCTTAAAAATGTTTCATTTAAGTGACCAAACTACAATAATCAAAATTGGATGAAATACTTCGAAGTTTTTAATCTCAAACTCCAAGGAAATTAAATCCAAAAGTCAAATACCTCCACTAGAGTGTGGTGTTGGTGAGAATGTGTCAGCACAGAATGGCTGTGAACTTTTAGTGCCTGGTTTTCATTTGCTATATTCATAGAAAAAAAAAAAAAAAAAATTAAGTGCCTTCAGTAGTGTAACCTAAAAAACCCTCTCACCCTGTAGTAAAGCTATAGCTGAAAAGGTGAAGCTATCAAACCGTGTGTCTATCTTGGTAAGCATATTGCTTAGCTTGATAGGTTTGTTTGTCTAAATTTTTCATTGTTTCTGTATAATTTGTACTTCATAAGCATATCAAGTTATATGTGCCATGCATATTTCACAGTATCTGAAAAGGATTCTGACAAGTATGTGTATGTATGCATTTCACAGTGCATGCAGTTTTTATGTGCATCAGTACATGTTTTTCCCTGGCCTAAAAGTGTTGTTTTACAAGTTTAATGAGTGGCAAGGTTTATCAGATGGTAAAGAATAAGCAGAATCAATTTTGGATCATTCGTGGACAGTAAGTAGGAATGATTTTACCTAATAGCTCTATACAGTCAGCTCTTGATTATCTAAGTTAATAAAATAGGAATAGTCACTATGGTCCTAGAATGACCTGTTTCTGGGTTCGTGTATACATCGTGTTCTTAATTTGGATGTAGCTGTGAGGCTTCTCTGTTGATAAGGTAAGATCATTCAGTGGAGACCTAACTAGAAGAAGGAAAGTACACTCTTGTCTGGGCCTAGGTTGGTCATCTTTTTCTCTCCTTTCCTGAGGAACATAAGACCCAGAATGTGGAGTGAGCACTGGCTTTTAGTCTAGATTTGTTAGGCATGGGAATTTTGGAGTTTGGACTCTTTGTGGCTGTTTTCTTTGTAGTACTGTCCTTTTGTACTGTTAACACCAGACTGAAGTGTGCTCACACTGCTGAGTGGGGGTCCTAGAAAGTGGGAGGGGTTTGCACTTCTACACTCCTGCCTTAGTTGTCTGGGGACTATTGCCTATGAAAGTGTTTAAGAATGCCCTAATTGCCAGGCGTGGTGGCACACGCCTTTAATCCCAGCACTCGGGAGGCAGAGACAGGCGGATCTCTGTGAGTTCAAGGCCAGCCTGGTCTACGTAGTGAGTTCCAGGACAGCTGGGGCTACAGGGAGACCCTATCTCAAAAAGACAAAAAAAAAAAAAAAGAATACCCTAACTATGTGCTACTTTTTGGGGATACTCCTGTTGGGTAAATTGTTGTCTGTAAATTGCCTTAGAGGTTTGAATAAGTCTATGACACCCTAAGAAGGAGCTTTGTACATATGGATAGTCTTCAGATAGTAAAACATTTGGGCAGCAGGTGAGACCCTTGGAGTGCTTGGGACAGCTTTGAAATGCAGTTCATCCTGGACACTTTGCTGAGATGATGGTTCACATTCTCTAAACTACAAGCAGATAAAGACAGTATGTTAAAGCAGCCCTTCTCCCTACTGTAGTAGAAAGTGTCTCTCCAGAAGAAAGCCCTTAACTAAGACCTTACCAGAGAAACAGCTAAAAATTGGGAAGGAACCAACCAAGAAACTTGAAATATCCAGAGTAAATTTCACAAAAGTCATGGACCTTATCCATAGACCGACTAGGATAAGCACAGTTCTAACAAGTGCAGTTGCTTTCCACCCCCAACTCATTGCAAATTAGAAGCCAGAGATGGGAAAGATGGAGAAGTGGTGCCACAGGCAGGTTCCCGTTAGCAACAAGGGGCATTGGAGTGCTCCAAAAGCACGCTTCCAGTCCATTGAGTAAAAACCAGCCATCCGCACTGTACCTCAGGGTAATGGCACTGCAAAGCAGTGGTTGTTTCTAATTGACGATTAGAGGGTACTCAGTGCATTTTTAACAGTAAAGGAATGGTTAAGGTATCTGACGTGTTAAACAGATTGGGGATGTATAATGATAGAATTCTTTAGATTCCCCAAACCAACTTGAATGTAACTTTATTATTCTTAGGTGATGAGGAGAGTGTTGTTTTGTATTGTTGATTTTGTTATTTTTATTTGTAAATTGACTGACCAGTGTAATAATAATATAAATTCAATATAATTTATGTACCTTTGGGCTTGAAAGGGGAGCAAATTAGCAGGTCCATTAGTGTTATAAAATGTGATTCTTTGGAAAATATGAGTAAATATTACTCTACTTTGCCTTTAAAATGTTTTATTTCATTCCTAATGCTTAAACACCTAGACACATTAGAATTCTTTACCTGTTCACAGTGTTTGGGCACCTTCAGTTGTGGGTACAACTTCAGCTTTTTTTGTAACCCGCTTTGTGTTCCAAAGATTTGTATGGGGTATGAGTTGAAATGTTTCCTAATAACTCCCTGTGTGGAGAAGCAGACTTTGGTGTGTCTCTTCTCTGAACACTTCTCCTTAGAACTCCTGTAGACCTTGATGCCTCCCTCCCCTCTCTGCACTCCTCTCACCACTGTGCCAGTTCCCTGCCTCCATGGCTCACCTTACTCCATTGCCCATTGCTGGCTAAAACCAGATCTGTCTGTGTGGGTCACAGCAGCAACAGGTGAAGAGAACAAACTCCTGTAATTGGCCAGTGTGCATGTTTTGATAAATACAGTGATGTGTTTAAACAGAGTAAAGCAAGCATTTCTTTTCCTAGCCTGGCACAGAGGGTCAATATCAGGGGTGTCCCAAGACATTGGAGATTAACTGTGCTAGTCCTGATTCCTCTCGTTCTGACTCCTTCATCACTGCAGTGATCTAAAGAGGAGACAGAGACTTTCAGAAACAGGTGCTCTCGGAACAACCAGATGTCTCCTTACCTGGGTCTCATCCGCTAGAAAGGACCAATCCCTTAACTCTTGTTCTTCCTTTTTTACCTTTTCTGTCACCACTTTCTTACTTTATTTTAAGAATATTTTTGTGTCTCCTCTTCCTCCTTTTCTTGTATTTTCCCTTTTCGCTATGTCCTATTTTTCCATTCCCTCATTTCATTTCTTCAAAGCCAAATATTGTTAGTGAGATAGACCTAAGAAATAACATAAGCAAGGCCCAGAGTCTGCCAGTACTCTGTGCCTAGGAAGCTTGTTTACTTGTGCGTGGTGATTAGGGCTGAGGACAAAGGAAAGCATGGCTTAGATCATGGTCTTGACGTCCTTTGAGAAAAGTGCTACCCCAAGGTAAAAATACAAAAGAAGAAAACTACTAGGTAACATAAAACCTGAAGAGAGAACCTCTATTTCTGAAGGAAATATTTGTCTTTTTCTTTTGTTAAATTTCTTTTATGTGCTTTCTAGTTGTGTCCAGTTTTCTTACTGGTTATTTTTGAGCCTGGGAGGTAGTCTTGGTGTTGTCTGTGAGGGTGTGGTGCATTCCTAGGGTGATACCAAGCTCCCTGTAGACAGCGTGAGTGTGGTAAGTGCTCAGCATTCAGGCTGAGGCAGATAATCAGGTGTTGACTGTATGCATAATGGCAATTGAGCAAAAGAAAAGGGTGCAGGTAATGTCCTAAATGTGAAGCCATTGGCATATAACCACATTTTCAGTGTGTGGGTAATTGTGTAATATTTTATTTGTTCTTGCAGCCAGGTTGTCAAAGCAGTGGCAATAAACTGCTAAGTAAAACATAAAATATTCTGTGTTTAAAGTCATTTTCTTTTGATATAAACATTTCTGAATTTGCAGTGGTAGCTATTTTCCGTGGAGAAAATATAAGAATCTTGTATCCATGGACGAGTAGACGAAAGGCGCTTTAAGATTTTTAAGGATTTCTTTTCAGGTGCTGGTGAATTCCTCGCAGTTGAATAATGAATGTATTTAACTCTTTTGTAGGCATCCTCTGGTATTACGATTCCAAAGCCCCCAAAGCCACCAGATAAGCCTCTGATGCCCTACATGAGGTACAGCAGAAAGGTAAGCACGGGGGCAGGGCTGGTGAGGGCCACTCTTCTTGTCAGCCTTACAAACTGCCTCAGTGTCTTCGTCCTGCATATTCAAGGGAGAATTAAAAACCTCAAGAGCTTTCACAGTTTCATTGAGATTTCAGACTTCCAGAACTAATGCCCAACAAGAGGAGCATGGTTCGGTAAACTGCTAAAATCTTTTGAACAGATTGCTCTGTGGCCATGAAAGTATGTCTTTGGAGAATACTAATGACGTGAAAGAAATGTTTAGTAGAAAGAATATAAGATTATATGTATTGATATACCTTAAGTCTGGGTTGTAGCTCAGTGGTAAAGCACTTGCCTAGCCTACAAGAGGCCTTAGGTTCAATCCCAAGACAACAAAGTAAAGTAAAAATAATATTCACCTGCTATCCTAAGGGAGAAAAAAACCTAGGAAACAATGGTTATCTCTAAACAGTAAAGCTTATGGTAGTTTTTATTTTCTTTATATTTCCTTAAACTCTTCAAATTTTTTGTGATGGTCCTAAATAAACCCTTAAAATTAAATATATAGTCAGTATCTTTACTAAACAGAAGAGTGCTTTAACTGACTTTTATAAATTTTTAAAAAAGATGTGTGATATATGTTATATGTATATGTGGTACATGTATGTGAATGTGTGGGCACACACATGCAGAAACCTGAGAAGGACCTCCATTGCACTCCACCTTATTTCCTTGAGGTGGGGTCTCACTGAACCAGAAACTTCCCTATTTCTGCGAGGCTGGCTGAGGGCCATTAAGCTCCCAGGCTCCATCTGTCTATGCCTCCCAGTGCTGGGGTTACAAGCATGTGCAGCCATACTTGACTTTTTTACACGGGCACTGGGGGCTCAAACACAGGTTTTCGTGCTTGCAGAGCAAGCACTCTTCTTGTTTATGTTTTGTTTTGTTTTGTTTTTGAAGCAAGGTCTCCCTGTAGCCCCAGCTGGCCTGGAACTCACTATGTAGCCTAGGGTTGCTCCATCTCACAGTGATCCACCTGACTCTGCCTCCTGAGTGCTGGGACTAAAGGCATGCACCACCATGCCCGCCTCCAGAGCAAGCACTCTTACTAAGCTATTTTCCCAGCACCAATTATTTTTTATGCATATGAATGTTTTACCTGCATATATGTAGGTGTACCACATATATGTAATGCCTGTGGAGATCAGAAGAGGACATTGAATCCCCTGGAACTGAAGTTAAGGACAGTAGCTGCCATGTAGGTGCTAGAAACAAATCCCGGTCCTCTACAAGAGCACTATTAACCACTAAGCCATCTCTCCAGCCTCCAATTTTAATTTTTAACTACTTCTAAATTCATTTGAACTGTGACAGACCTTGTCTAGGTAGATGTTCTTAGCATATCAAGTCAAAATATTTATGATTGAAGTGATGTGATGGATGAGGTCTGCCTTAAAATAATCCAGTAGGGACGATGAATGAGACAAGCTGGCTGTTGACTGTTAGAGCAGGCAGAGGGCTACCTACACATTTGATACTGTCCATTCTGTTCTTGTTTATGGTTAAATTTTTCCATATTAGAGTATTTTAAAAGAACTATATACTTAGACATTAATACTGACTTTTCAACTGTTTCTCTTTTAAGGTCTGGGACCAAGTAAAGGCTTCCAACCCTGACCTAAAGCTGTGGGAGATTGGCAAGATTATTGGTGGCATGTGGCGAGATCTCACTGATGAAGAGAAACAGGAATATTTAAACGAATACGAAGCAGAAAAGGTAGGGGGACTGCCTTGACTTCTTGTTTTATAAAAGAAACATAAGACTTGACCAGAAACCTGAGACAGCACTGAGGTTGTTCTCTCCACTGAAGTCCACTCAGTTCATTTCTCTAGTCCTCACATTCCCAGTTTGGAAAGAGGAGCTAGCTAGCTGTCTGGGCATCCTGCTTTCCCTCATGCCCTCTGACATTCAAATGACATAATGCACATGTACACAGTAGCCTGTAGAACGTCGATTATAAAACCAAAACCCTTTGGATTTCAGATAGAGTACAATGAATCTATGAAGGCCTATCATAATTCCCCTGCATATCTTGCATACATCAACGCAAAAAGTCGTGCCGAAGCTGCATTAGAGGAAGAAAGTCGACAGAGACAGTCTCGCATGGAGAAAGGAGAACCCTACATGAGCATTCAACCTGCCGAGGATCCAGATGGTAAGCACAGAAGTGGGGCTTTGTTCATGCTTTCTCATTGAGTTAGAAGACAAATCTTAATAGAAGGCTTTTATTTCTTTAAATAGAAAAGCATAATTTTAAGTGCCATTTCAATAATAAGTTTTTTGTTGTTGTTGTTTTGTTGTTGTTTTTTGGTCTTTTTGAGACACAGTCTCCCTGTAGCCCCAGCCGGCATAGAACTCACCATGTAGATCAGGCTGGCCTTGAACTCACAGAGATCCACCTGCCTCTGCCTCCCGAGCACTGGGACTAAAGGCGTGCACCACCACGCCCAGCCAATAATAATATTTTTATATGTGTGATTTTTCCATTGGAAATACCCTTTGCAGTTTGGAGATGATTTTTAAAAAAAAACTATATTGCTTCTCAAAATCTTTTTACTCAGAGCGTGACATGGTAGGCACGCCTTTAAATCCTAGCACTTGGGAGGCAGAGGCAGGCAGATCTCTGTGAGTTCAAGGCCAGCCTGGTCTACATAGTGAGTTCTAGGCCAGCTGGGGTTACAGGGAGACCCTGTATCAAATTAAAAAAAAAAAAAAAATTGTGCTCAGAACACATGATTTGTTTGTTTTTTAAGACAGTGTCTCAGTCTGTTACCCAGGTTGGCCTTGAACTCCTGATTCTTCTGCCTCAGCTTCCCACATGCTGAGACTGCAATCTTCTACCAATATACCCTATCCTGTCAGATTGTGTGGTTTTGGAGTCACAGTTGGAATTATTTTTCCCTCGACTTTTCTGAAAAGTTGAATACCTTCTAGTTACATCCAGTCTTTTTATTGATTCCCTGAATTTGCTAAATTAAAGGCTCTTAGCAAAAATTAATGAGTATATGGAAGCATTTTAAAATATTAAATTAATTCAGAAATCTAGCACAAATTTGTAAAACCTGTAAGACATTTGAGAGCGCCCACCATAGATATCATACATTACAAACTCAGATGGCCAGGCTTCCTAATTGGGATTCCATGAGTGGACACAGGTATGCAGATGACCCTCCTGGGCCCCTGCAGCCAGCCAGAGTCTGGAGTTATAAGGACCCGCAGAGATGGCCACTTCCATTTAGGAATATACTCATCCTAGCATGCTGTGTAAGTATTCATTTTTCCCTGTGTGCTACTGAATGTGGAAAGCAATAACTACCAGCCACAGAAACACCAACAAAATAATGTAAGTTAAAATACAAGGAAGTTCAGTGTCAGAGAGATGCCTCAGCGGTACTGGCTGCTCTTACAGAGGACCTGGGTTGGAATCCCAGCACCCACATGGTAGCTAACAGCTGTCCGTAACTCCAGTTCCAGGGGATCCAGAGACCCTCTTCTGACCTCCAAGGGCATTGCACGACGCGTGAACTTACACAGATGCACACTCATACACATAAAATAAAAATAATAAGTAAAATTTTTCTTAAATACAGGGAAATTCTTAAGAACATCAGAGAAGATAGCAGGGGAGGAGAGAATAGTGATACCCAAAGACACAGGGGAACTGAACTGAGGAGGAGGAGGAAGACTCAGAGGAGAGCTTCAGAAGAGCGGTCTGGGGATACTGACAAATGTTCCCCTAAGAACAGTAGAAAAATGTGGACTAGAAATAATATTGAGTGTTAAGAATTAGCAGTACTAAAGATATATGTGCTGGCTTTAATTACTCAAATGGAAGGATCAATTTGAGAAACACAGGCCTTAATTATAGATCAAGTCTGGAAATGATTGAGAGGATGAAGGTCTATATAGGAGAAACAGGCCAGCAATATAGAGGCCATATGAGGAAAATTAAAAAAATGGAGCCGCGGGAACTAGGCTTGAGAGACCCTTGGTGAGAAGTGACATGGAGTGCACTAATTGAGAATTAGGAGAAGACCAGAGACATAGGAATGCACAGAAGCCCAAGAGACAGGAGCCATCTCATGTGGGCAGCAGCTGCCGATTTCCTAGAAGGTCCGAGAGACATCAGTCATGGATCCACACAAGATTTGTTTGTTTGAGATAGGGTCTCCCTGTAGCCCCTGCTGGCCTGGAAGTCACCATGTAGACCAGGCTGGCCTTGATCTCACAGATCAAAGCCATGCCTGGCTTTATTTGTTGAGACAGGGTCTCTCACTGTTGCGTAGGGAAGCTGGCCTTGAGTTTCACAGACTCACCCACCTCTGCCTCCCAAGTGTTGGGATTAAAGGTGCGCACCACCACGCCTGGCAGCAAAGGCTTTTTAAATGACTGTTTATTTGGTATGAAGGCCTCTGGGACTCTAAGGGGATTAGGAGATTCAAAGACAAACTGTTTTCATCTGTATTGGAAGAAAAAAAAAAATCTCTTTGTTTAATGAGTTAATGTAAAGAAAAATATTAAGGGGGCTGGAGAGATGGCTCAGAGGTTAGGAACACTGGTTGTTCTTGCAGAAGACCCGAGTTCGAATCCCAGCACCCACATGGCAGCTAACAGCTGTCCGTAACTCCAATCCCAAGGGATTCAACAGCCTCTTCTGTCCTCCTCGGGCATTGCACAACACGGGTGCACTTACCTACATGCAGGCAATACACGCAATACACATAAAATTAAAATAATAAAATTTTAAAAAAGAAAGAAAAATATTAAGTAGATGCTATTGCAGGCTGCTGCCAAGTATGTGAAAAGAAGTGTGAAGAGAACAGAAACACTATTGTGTAGTTATTAGAAGTAAACACACGGGGACTGGAGAGGCAGCTCAGCAGTTAAAAGCCCTCACTGCTCTTTCAGAGGACCCAGGTTCAGTTCCCAGCACCCATGTAGCAGCTTACCGGTCACAGGGATCTGACGCCCTCTTCTGGCCTCCATGGCATTGCATGACATGGGTGTGCATATATATGTGTGTGTGTGTGTGTGTGTGTGTGTGTCTGCAGGCAAAACATTCATACCCATAAAGTAGAAATAAATCAAAAAATGTGAAAAATAAATAACTAAAATCTTTTTTTACAAAACTGAAAGCAAGCAAGCATATATGCTGAGTGCAGTGGTGCACTTGGAATTGCAGCCCTTGAGAAAGGCCAGTCTGGGCTGTATAGTGAACCACACCCTAGGGTAAGGAGATGGCTCAGTGGATAAAAGCTGTTGCTGTTCACGCATGATGACCTGAGTTCAAATCTCCAGCACCCACGTAAAAAGTCAGGTTTGGCTGGTGCTTGCCTGTAACTCCAGCATTGGGAGACAGAGACGGGCAGATCCTAGGAGCTTACAGGGCTGCCAACCTAGCTGAAACCATGAGCTTCCAGTTCAGAGAGAGATCCTGTCTTAAAGAAATAAGGTGGAGAGAGAGAGAGAGGGAGATAACCCAACATCCTCCTCAACACACATACGCCTGTACCACACAACAAAAATAAAACTACAACCCCAATCAAAAAAAAAAAAAAAAAGCCACACTGTATGTATCTAAATTTGATTAACAGCTTTGCACATTAACGACTGCGTAACTTTGACAAAAACAATAAAAATGCAGGATCAAGTGTTTGAGTAGTATCTGTTGTATGCATATGTACATGTGGAGTTCAGAGGCTGGTGCTAAGTATCTTCCTCACCTGTTCTCCATCTTTTTGTGAGTATGGGGGGCAGGGTGCACTTGCATGTGCAGTTCTTGTAGAGACTGGAGGTTGACATCCAGGTGGCTTCCTCAGTCACTTTTCCACCTTTTGTGTGTGTGTGTGTGTGACATGAACCCAGAGCTTGCTGTCGTAGCTAGTGACTGGCCAGTGAGCCCTCAGAATCTATGACACCCACCTTTTACATGGGTGCTAGGGATTCAAATTTAGGCCCTTCCCCTCATGCTTACCTAGCAGTTTATCAGCTGAGCTATCTCCCCAGCCTTGGAATAAAGATTTTTTTTTTTCTCTGTAAGATTCCCTTGAGTCTTTGTGGTGTAATAAAATGTAAATGCTGCCTAGGAAACTGAATGTGATGGAGAAGGTGGTGATAAGTTATTTTTACTAGTGGATATTTTCATTAGTTGTAAACAGCTGTGATAACAAAGGCACTGCCCTGTTACATATTCAGCAGTTACAAAATTTCTTAGAGGTCACTATCAAGAGAGTGAAGCATTTGGCAGAATTTCAGGTACTGTCATCACATGCAAGCTTCATTCACATAGACCAAGGCCAAAAGAGACGTGGTCATATGTCATTTTTGTTTTGGCCAAATCCTAAAACCTCAGATATGTATAATCACCCCTTAACAGCTCTGTCGGGGGCAGGGGGACAGTGCTGCTGCCAGCAAAGGCTTTTAATCCCAGCACTTGGGAGGCAGAGGCAGGAGGATCTCTGAGATTGAGGCCAGCCTGGTCTACATAGTGAGTTCAAGGCCTCCTGGGGCTTCAGGGAGACCCTATCTCAAAAGACCAAAAACGGACAGAAAAAATAAGCCCACAAAATATTAACATTGGTACACATTCCTGTTTATGGTTACTAGCCACCTAATTTCCAGAATATTTCCTTGATTCCAGATTATGACGATGGCTTTTCAATGAAGCATACAGCCACTGCCCGTTTCCAGAGAAACCACCGCCTCATCAGTGAAATCCTCAGTGAGAGTGTGGTGCCAGACGTGCGCTCAGTTGTCACAACAGCTAGAATGCAGGTCCTCAAGCGGCAGGTCCAGTCTTTAATGGTTCATCAGGTAAGGTCTGCAAACATTAGCTATGACAAAATAAGTCTACACCACACATCTCCGGTGACATGACTAATACCATGCATAAATATCCCTGATAAATATTTCAGTGTCACCGGTTTCTGCTATGAGAAAGAGATTTGAAAACCATTTGTTATTAAAACTGTACCAGTGTTGTAATGGAGAGTGTATCTGTTCAGGAATACCTGTGAACTAGAAGTGCCCTACTAGCCTTGGCCACACTGCTACAGTGTTTTTTCCAAAAAAGATTTTTTTTTTTTTTTTTTTTGGTCTTTTTAAGACAGGGTCTCCCTGTAGCCCCAGCTGACCTGGAACTCGCTATATAGACCAGGCTGGCCTTGAATTCACAAAGATCCACCTGCCTCTGCCTCTGCCTCCCGAGTGCTCAAAGAAATTACTCTTTAACATCTTATTAATTAAAGTCATTCCTCTATATCCCTTTTTTTTTTTTTTTTTTTTTTGGTCTTTTCTGAGATAGGGTCTCCCTGTGGCCTGGAACTCACAGAAATCCACCTGCCTCTGCCTCCCAAATGCTGGGCTTAAAGGCCTGCACCACCACGGCCAGCCATTTTTTTTTTTTTTTTTTTTTTTTTTTTTTTTTTTTTTTTGGTCTTTTTAAGACAGGGTCTCCCTGTAGCCCCAGCTGACCTGGAACTCGCTATGTAGACAAGGCTGGCCTTGAACTCACAGAGATCCACTTGCCTCTGCCTCCTGAGTGCTGGGATTAAAGGCATGTGCCACCATGCCCAGCTTATATTTTTAAAATGATAGACTTTATACTAAATGATTTAAATGAAAAATGCAAACTTACTACACTTGAAACTATAAACCATTAAAAAAATTACATTTTCTGTGCTTGACATCTGCTTTAGGGAAAATCTCTAACCTGATTCTGACCTCTATTTTACAGCGAAAACTAGAAGCCGAACTTCTTCAAATAGAGGAACGACATCAGGAAAAGAAGAGGAAATTCCTGGAAAGCACAGACTCCTTTAACAATGAACTTAAAAGGGTATCCATTCCATGTGTCAGCTACTTTTATTACTGTGCCTGTTACTTTTTCTCCCCTAAAGCAGTGTTTTTATTGAATGTTCCCTTTGAAATAGGACTAACTTCACAATGTAATTTCTGCTACCTTTGTAAATTATTCCCATTTTCTAGAAAAATTACAGTTAATTTCCAGTGTCATGTAGGCCACAGATGATAGAGCCCTCCAGTGCTTTTATTAAACTCTGTGCATTAAGTGTTTTCACTTTATTTTAATCTAGGCACCACATGTCTCCATGAGATAGTGTTCACAGCATGCATGTTATATTAAAACAAGGAAATCTCACGTTGGGCAGCCTGAAGCAGAAATTGAGAACCTGAGTCTGATCCCATGTTCTCGGGGTTGCCTCAGCTGCCCCTTGTAGTAGTTGACCCTACGTGGCTGTAGGGCGGCATCCTTGTCCTTTATGCACAGTTTCAGGGACGATCTCTAACCACTTTTTTCCCCTCCTCATCTAAATTTATCTAGCTCATAAGCCAGGAAGCTTACTTTTGAAGCAGCTACTGTGCTTCAAAGGTTGTAAGAAAACAAATGCTCACAGCCCATTCATGTTTCACTGCTAGCTATGCGGCCTGAAGGTAGAAGTCGATATGGAAAAAATTGCAGCTGAAATTGCACAGGCAGAAGAACAGGCCCGCAAGAGGCAGGAGGAGCGGGAGAAGGAGGCGGCAGAGCAAGCCGAGCGCAGTCAGGGCAGCGTCGCCCCCGAGGAAGAGCAGGCCGCAAGCAAAGCCGAGGAGAAGAAGGACGAGGAGAGCATTCCCATGGAGACAGGTACAGCACTGCCCAGAAGCCCTGGGGCAACCCAGTTCTTTCCAAATCTTAGTCTGCTAAGATTGTCCAGGGTCTTGGTTGTGCCCAGGCAGATGTGTGTTGCTGACTGGCTGGAGACTGTAAAGTGGACCGCAGTACTGGTGAAGGGTGTGGCTTTGGAGCCAGACAGACATGGGCTGCTCCCCCACTTGAGAGCATTGTAACTTTAAATGAGCTGTTTATCCCATTTGCTCATTTGAAAGAAAGTACCTGCCTCTGAGTGCCTTCTGGTCCTGGATTTGACAGAGTTTCGGTTTTCATTTGTTTTTCTTTTATGTGTATGAGTGTTTTGCTTGCATGTATATAAGTGTAGCACATATGATGAAATGCCTGAGGAGGTCAGAAGAGGGCACTGGATCCCCTGGAACTGGAGTTACAGACAGTTGTTAGCCACCGTGTGGGTGCTGGGAACTGAAGCCGGGTGGTGTACAAAAGGAGCCAGTGCTCTGAACTGCTGAGCATCTATCTCTCCAGCCCCAGTAGCCTATTGCTACTACTTACCCAAGATGTGATCATTGTTCTCAAGATTGTCTTTGGTGTCCTAGGATGGCATTGAGCAAAGTAGAAGCTATAAGCCAGTCTGCCCTCATCTTCTGGTAAATAAAGTGTGGCTGGAAGGTGGCCACTCCCGTTTGCTCCCGTATGGGATGTGGCTGCTCTGGTGACAGCAGTGTAGTTGAGACTTACAGCAGAGACTGCCTGGCCCACAAAGCCCAAAATGATGACAGTCTAGGTCTTTGCACAAAGATTGTGAGCCCCCCACCCTAAAAACCTTGCTTTTTCATGTATTGATTTTCCTGATTAGAAGCATCCCTCAAGGTTAAAAAAAAAAAAAAAAAAATCACATGTACAACTTAGTATAATACTAATTAAATTGGTTGTTCTTGGAATGTCTTGCCTTCTGGCACTATCTTGACCAGGCCTCATGCACTGGGTAACCAGGAGTAAGCTAAAAGTAGTTAGGGGAATACCCCCACAGGTTCCCTGACAGTCATCACAGGAAGTGGAAGGGACATACTCAGATGGCAACTGCCTAGACAGCGTTTAATGGAATATCAGTATCTCTACCAGGTATTTGTACAACATAATAACAGATTATCTTTTCAGATAGTGAGATTTTTACCCTCTTTCTGTTTTTATGAACGTTTTTATTGTAAATTTGGACCTAGAACCGGTTTTTGTGGTTAAAGTGAGTGCCTGAGAAGCAGAGTATGGCTCTTTGCTCGTCTTGAACCATATTGTCCTGCATCAGTTTCCCTGGAGCTGAAATTATAAGCAGTTGTGAGCCACCTAATATAGGTGCTGGGAATTGAACTTGGGTCCTCTGGACGAGCACTAAGCACTCTTAACCACTAAGCCTGTCTTTTTAGCAGTCATCAACATTTTTAAAAATTACTGACTTTCTGGGCTAGAGCACCAGCTCAGTTGGTAGTACATGAACCCATGTGGAAACACAAGCTTGTAATCCCAACCCCACGGAGATGGAGGCAGGCGGATCCCTGGGGCTCGTCTAGCCTAGCCGGCCAGCCCAGTCACTTAGCATTTGTAGGTCAGTGAGAGATCCTGTCTCAAAAAGGTGGGTGGGTTATTCCTCAGGAACGACACTTAAGGTTCTTCTCCGGTGTCCACACACACCTGTGCACACATGCAGACACTGGCAAAAAAACAGTAACTGTCTTGCAGTCTTTTCATAGTAAGACTAAAATCTAACATGTAGTTCTTCTTAATCCCAAAGCTGCATCTTTATCAGAAGTGATTGATCTGTATTTAACTTTCATAAACCTAGAGTTAAAATGTAGATTTTTAATACCCTAAATTATCCCAAACACGCTTAAAAATTCCTGAGTCCTATCAGCCCACTTTGGTGCTTGCCCACGTTGTGGCCAGCAGCCACCATATTAGACGGCACAGCTCTGTGCCGTCGGCAGAATCAGTAAATGTCTCAGAACTGACGGTGGCAAATGTGTGATTACAGAGGAGACGCACCTTGAAGAAACAACAGAGAGCCAACAGAATGGTGAAGAGGGCACGTCTACCCCTGAGGACAAGGAGAGTGGGCAGGAGGGGGTGGACAGCATGGCAGAGGAAGGGACCAGTGATAGCAATACTGGCTCGGAGAGCAACAGTGCTACAGTCGAGGAGCCCCCCACAGACGCCATGCCAGAAGACGAGAAGAAGGAGTAAATGTTGCCTTGTTTTATGTGTCCTCGATACTTTTTTAAATGAAACAAATGTTTTTTTGGTTTTAATGGTGTTATGTGGTCTGTGTATCGATTACTTTCTTGTCCAGGCATACCACCAAAGTCTTTTTACAACCACCACCATCATATGTAGCCTAATGTCAGCCATTCACCTTTCTTAGCTTTGTCACATGGTTCTTTCCTTTAGATATTGTTGGTAGCACTCAACTTCTGAAAGCCTCAGAATTTAATCAATCAAGAAGACACCCGCCTCTTTTAGAGAATTATCCTTGATGCTGCAGAATCTACTTACAATGCCTTCCTTCTGCTCACCTGGGTGCTCACCAAAGCCATAGCTTTAAACCTCCCAGCCCCATCGCCAGCTTCCTGAGTCCCCTGTCCTTTGTACCTGTGCAGAGTACCTTCTTAAAAACATCATGTATGTGTGTTTGTTCATTTACCTTTTTATTTCTAATTGATGTCGGGTACCAAGAGTTCTGTTACAAGGTAGAGTGTAGCCTGAAACTACACATAGATAGTACTGGTCTAGAAATAGCCTACGTGGTAGAGTACTTACTGGTGTGAAACAGTTGTTAAATGAGCATAGTGCATGCACAGTATCTATTCTGCTTTTCATTCTCATCGTTGTGGGTTTGTTCTGGAAAATTCATCCTTCTGTACAGGGGAAATACTTTTTTACCAGGCTTTCCAAAGACACAATAGGCAGAGCTTAAGGAATGGAGTGCTTGTAGTGGACGGCACAGCTTCAGAGCGGCTGGTGCATTCCAGAGAAAAAGAGCTGGGAATTCAGTTCATCCACTTGAACATGTTTTACAGTAACAAAAACATTTCAAACCTCAAGGCTCAGGATCCCATAGATCAGAGCCTACCTTTTTTGATAATCCTTTAGTAAAGTCTTGGAGACTAGAGACAAGATAGTTTGTGACGCGTACGCTTCCTAAAAACTAGAGTAGATTTTTACTGAATAGTGGTATATATGATGGTATATGTTTCTAAAGGTCCAAACATAATAAAGAAATTAAAACAAAGGTCTCAGTGTTTTTAATGCACTAAAAAATTAGATACAAGACAGGCATACGATTTGGTTCCTATAATGCAGTGACAGCATGAAATGACTTGCAGTTGGGAAGTCCATTCTTAAGACCCTTGTCTTACCAACTGTGTTTACAAAGTGCTACATACTCAGTTCAACTGTACAGGACATTCGCAAAAAATCAGTTGCCTTACATAATAAGTCATGTGGCGTGGTTCTGACTCCAAAAATGGTCTACGGGGATATGCAGAGATCTAAGGCATTTAAATTGTTTGTAAAAGGCATGATTAATAAATAAACATAAGCCTTGTGCTTACATGGGGAGAACTGTACACCGCATGCCTCAGTTTACCATGAATTCACTGCAGTTGAGTGCACAGCACTGTTAGTGGCTGAGTCCACCCTGGTCAGCCTCCTGAGAAGAGAGGAAGCCTGATGAATGGAGACTGAAGTTTTCCTGTGGGTCTGTCTACAACCTTTCCTCCAGTTCCTTGTGAATCAAGGAACTTATCAACAGGCCTGTTTTTAGAGGTTGGACATTGTAGGACTAAGAATTCAGAACATCTCATCCTAGACAAATTAGATAACCTTAGATACAATTAAAGTGGGGCAGAAAAGCTGTTAAATGATAATGGAAAACAACAACACTGTTAGTCTCCAAGAGGACGAAAGCACTTCCAGGCCCTGCTGGGGGAGGAACCAGTCTGCCTAGGCCAAGCCTGCCCAAATCATTTGCTGCCACTGGCAGAGGAGTGAATTACTTACTGTGGGACTTGGCTTCTAAGAAGGAGGAACAGTTGAGTTGGAATTCTCCTTTGTTAAACTAACATGCGTAGACACCAATGTTTGAGAAGTTTCATTTTGAGAATATGGAATGCAGCAGAGATCTTTGATTCTCTGCACACCCCCACCCCATATCTCCATAGGAATTGGGCAATTAGCTAAGACTTCTGTGCCTAAGATGGTGTTTAGTACATTTGTTTTGAGCATGGCAGCATAAGATCCATGGGATTAAATTGTATTAGGTTTTAACAAGAAACAGAAGAGGGGAATTCATAGGCCTGCAGTTTCCATGTAGGAATTTCAGATTCTGCATCTTGGCCCATCTGTCAACAAGCTTGTCTTTAAGTGACTCTCAGACCAGTCCCATGATGATCAATTGGAACTGAGAAATGCCTGTCACTTTGCATTTTTACTGTGTCCTTCGGGTGTTTAGGTACACATGTTTTCTGTTGAATTATACGTGCCTACATTACTTAATATAGTAGCATACTGCCCTGGGCTGAAAAGCAGGATAGAAAGGAAAAATTCTGGGGATATGGGAAGGGAGAAGCCTGGTTGAAGCCTGTTGCGAGCTGAAAAGCAAAAATTTCAGCACAATTGACATTTCCTGTGAATATTTCAGACGTAGAAAACAACATTCCTGGGCTGGAGAGATGGCTTGGCAGTTAAGAGTCCTAACTGCTCTTGCAGAGGTCCCAGGTTCAAATCGCAGCACCCATATGGTGGCTAACAACTGTCCATAACTCCAGTTCCAGAGGCTCCAATACCCTTTTCTGACCTCCGTGGGTATTACATGACATGGGTGCAGGCAATACATTCATATACATAAAAATAATAAAATTAAAAAAAAAAAAAAGCCGGGCATGATGGCACACGTCTTTAATCCCAGCAGGGGCAGAGGCAGGCGGGATCTCTGTGAGTTCAAGGCCAGCCTGGTCTACATAGTGAGTTCCAGGACAGCTGGGGCTACAGGGAGATCCTGTCTCAAAAAAGACCAAAAAAATAAAAATAACATTCCTTTCCTAGCTAGGCAGATCTTTGTGGGTTCAAAGTCAGCCTGGTCTACCTAGTCAGTTCCAGGCCAGCCAAGCCTACATAGTAAGACCCTGCCTAAAACAACACAATTCAAAGATACTTCAATAAATCTCAACTCTGCTTCATACTGGTTAGTCCTGAAATTATTTTCTGTGTCCAAGTCCCCGAAGGATAAGGGAACTCCTCAGGCTGGGAGGTGGCAGCATGGGACTGTATCTCAGTCTCTGGCCTTGATGGGTCAGCCTCATAGCCATCATGTACCCTGGGTACATAGCAGGATATACCATCTAGGTTTGTACACTCTGATGTTTTCATGACAAAATCACCTAAGATGTATTTTTTCAGAGCATATCTCTTTTATTAAGTGATGGGTTGGCTATATTCTTCAAAGGGAAGAATTGGAGAGTAAAGCTATCTCATTTCAACTGATAATGTATGTGACTACCAAATGGAAAATATACAGTAGCTTCAGGGACAGTCCAGAGAACATATCTGGGATTGTGTGTGGCTACTGAAGTCCAGCTGGACGCGCCCAGCTCTTTCATTTTGGTCCTTCCTGTTTAGATACCAGTTCTGGAGAACTGATGGTCCTGGGGGTGGAACTCCTGTCCACGGCAGTTGAATCGCAACTTTGGTTTTTGGTTTTTCTGGTGAACAGGCTATGAGGCTGGGATTATACTTTGTTAAATCCTCGTTTCAGAAGCAATTCCCTCCACCCCTGCTCACCACCCCCACCTGGGTTCAGCTATGGCATGAGTTTTATCTTGTTGCTTTTTACCCCTGGGCAAACCTTGCTAGACCAACTACAGTTGACTTCTTCATGATCTGCGCGTTAAAGGGCTTAACGTCTTTCTAATGAAAAACAAACTACTAAAACCAGCTCAGAGAAACTCAGCCTTGTCAGAAGAAACCACACTGAATTATAATTTGGCTTACTGTGATAAGGTTTCTTTGTCAGTATGATAAGGAAAACACAGTTTAGTGACAAATGATACATGTATTAATAATCATAAGATAGTTTATATCTTTAACTGTGATCTTGTACCATATGAAATTGCCCACATTGTTTCTTTGTTTGCTTGTATGTGTGTGGGTGATGTATGCATGTGCATGTATTCATATGTATGTATGTGTGTATGCATGTAAAGTCCAGAGGTTGATAGTAGGTGTCTTCTACTATCATCTGCCACCTTATTTTTTGAGAGTCTCTCACCAAGCCTGGAGCTCGCTGATTCAGCAGACTGGCTAGTCAGCAAGCCCTTAGGATCCCTGCCTCCCAGCCCTGGGATTATAGGTGTCCAACGCTGTGCCCACCTGTTTACATAGGTGCAGGCCATCTGAACTCAGGTCCTCATGCTTACACAGTAAACACTTTGCCCAATGAGCCACGTCCCCAGCCTCCGTGTAGGTTTTTATCTACAAAATGGCAATTCCACCTGGCTTTCTAGCAATTCTGTATTTTACCCAGCAAGTATAAATGCTTGCTCATAGCTTTGAGTGTGAAATGCTGAAACTTGCAGTTTTCCAGACTGACTTATACTTCTCTCACAATTTTATTATATATTGTTAAAGAAAGCCCAGGTTCAAATGCAAATCCCAGGCTACTAAGAATTTAACATCCTGATCCTTTTAATTTACTTTTATTTTTTTTATGCATATGCATGTGTGTCTGTGTGGAAGTATATATGTACATGAGTGCAGTTGTCTGCAGAGGCCAGAAGAGAACATCAGATCCTCTGGAGCTGGAGTTACAGATGGTTGTGAGCCTCCTGACATGGGTGCTGGGAACTGAGTTCTGACCCTCTGAGAGAGAAGCAAGCATTCTTAACCACTGAGCCATTTCTCCAGCCCCAACATCCTGATCTTTACAGCGTACCCTGGTGGCCATAGAGTTAAACCACCTGTTTTGTGTTCACATTGTCTCATTTAGCAGTCAGAAAGGTTTCTGCATGTACCTACAGGTAAAAAATGGAGTGTGGGGAGGGGCAGTTCCCAAATGTATCTTGCTTTTTACATAAAACTTAGTATCTGCAGGCAGTGGCTCCCTTTGGTGAGCCATTTGAAAGCAAAAGAGGCTGTGTGACATTCAGGAGAGAGAACCTTAGGTGAGCTACCTCCAGCTCCTACCCAGCACTTGGCCCACAGGTCCTTTAAGGCATCGTATTTTGTTTCAATGAATACTCTGGTCCAGGACAGCCTGTCATCTCTTAAGACAGCTGATAACCTACATAGCTAAATTTTAAATATGTCCTCTTGGCCAAACTCTGCTTTCCTATAATTTCAGCCTTCTGCTTAGACCTTGAATTGAATAGAACAAATGCAAGGCCCTTTCAAGCAAAATCACTTCTTCCAAGTCAGGTGTCTGTTGAGACCCCATCTTATGAGCTTATGGTCCTCCGCCTCTCCTCCATGTGGATGCCGCCTTTTCTCCTAGACAGCATGTTTTCTCTAATACGGGAAAAACATAGTGTGCTGCACTTAATCAGAAACCATACCACTAGACCTTAGACTCATCACTCTAAAACTAGGGGGTTGCCCTATGAGGACCTCAAAGTCCCATATAACAAAAATTATAAACTGTAATATAGACCCAACCTCCATGAATATTGACAGATATTCTCATAAGTAACAAAACGGGAAGCAAGTAGATTCGGTTCTTCCCTCCCTCCCTCCCTCCCTTCTTTCTCCCTTTGTTTTCTGTCTCTCCTTCCTTCTCTTCCTCCTTTCTTTCATTCTTAGTTTTTTATTTTGTTGGGTTTTGTGTTTTGTTTTTGGTCTTTTTTTGTTTTGGTCTCCCTGTAGACCCAGCTGTCCTGGAACTCACTATGTAGACCAGGCTGGCCTTGAACTCTCAGAGATCCACCTGCCTGTGCCTCCTGAGTGCTGGGATTAAAGGCGTGCGCCACCACGCCCGGCTATTTTGTTGGTTTTTGAACCAGAGTCCTACATATCCCAGGCTGCCTGGAACTCACCATGTAGCAAAAATGACTTTAAATTCCTGATCGCCTCCTGCCCTTCCCAAGTGCTGAGATTTCAGTATAAGCCATGTCTGTTTATACTGACCCGTGCTTCTTGAAGCTCAGTCGTTTACATACCATTATCACAAGCCCCTTCCACTTCTGGGACCATCTGTGCTATTATTGCCACTTAACAGCCTTCTTGGAATTGATTTT